GGCATATTCATTCTAGCACCTTTTCCTCCTACTATTTTTAGGTGTAAAAAGACTTAAACGTTGGATGGTGTTGAGTCTACCAGACTTAGTGACATATTTTGTTCTTTTTTTTTTTTTAAAGATTTTATTTATTTATTTGACAGAGAGAAAGATCACAAGTAGGCAGAGAGGCAGGCAGAGAGAGGAGGAAGCAGGCTCCCTGCCAAGCAGAGAGCCCGATGCGGGGCTCGATGCCAGGACCCTGAGATCATGACCTGAGCCGAAGGCAGAGGCTTAACCCACTGAGCCACCCAGGCGCCCCCTTAGTGACATATTTTGAACAATAGGTAGGAACCTGGATATGTTTTGAAAACTATCTAGAGAAAGAAGACTTAAAACTTTGTGTTTTTTCTTAGATGTGTTTTTCTCACAAGAGCAGAACTCGTGCTCACGGCTCTCGTTTACTTGTTTGTTCACTGTGCGCGTGCCGATCCCTTTCCTCCGGGCCGCGGCTCCCTGAGGGAGGCATTGCTGCCAGGCCCGTGCGAGATGAGGAGCCCGAGACGAGACGTGGACCAGCCCAGTAACCGGCCCAAGGCTGCGGCCTGGGGTGTCAAGTCAGGATGGGGTGTCAGGCAGTCTAGCTTCAGAGCCCACACTCTTAATTGTTACTCACCTCTTAGGAGAGGTGATAAACCGTTAACTCGTGGGCGCGCCAGTGGAGTGCTGTAGAAGCACTTGTGCTTGTGCCTCGGGGCAGTTCCAGCTGTGGGTTTTGATCTCCTCCTCCCTGCAGTGTAGAGGAGAAAGGCTCGTTAACATGGTTTCTTAATCTAAGTTATGTATTTTAAGTCAGATTTGCTGGAGAAGAGGGATTTTGTACCCCAGGCCCCATCCTGTCCCACAGGCTGGGTTGTGAGGGCTCACAGCTGAGTCTGGGGAGAGGCTGCCAAGCGACAGGCAGGGACACAGACCCCCCTTGGGTCCACGTGGCATCTAGGGCACCTGGGGCAAGAAGGGTGCTGGGCCAGGGCTCCTGGAGGGGCCCGGCCAGCTGATGAGCCGGAGAAGCTTGCCCCAGCTGTGGGAACAGGGGCAGGGAGGAGGGTTGGGCCGCCTACATGCTGTGTGTGCCCCTGGAGGGACAAGACGGGTCCTGTGCGGCACACGCACCTTCTCTACCAGCTGTCTGCATTCGTGCTGTTGTGTTGAGTTGGTATCGTAGTGATTTTCTAGCGGTCTTCAACTGTGTTTCTGTTTTCTCCATAAATTTGAGAGAAGAGATACTCGTCTGTGTTGGTGTTCCGATAACCCGGCTATCACGTGTGTGGTGTAAGTCAAAACAGAGGCCCCCACCGTCTCCAGCTCTCCGTGGACCAGCTACCTCTCTGAGAAGCCCCATACCCCCTTCCGTGATGCGGGGTCGACCTGTGGGGTGGGCTTGGCGCCCTGACGCCGCTTCTCCTCAGCGCTGCTTCTGCTGAGTGACCGTGAAAGAGAGCCGCCCTTTCTGGCTCTGCATTTGCTTGTGCATTCAGCTCCCCTAAGTCTAGAGACCCAGTCGTGTGACTTGTGGCGCCTCTGTTCATTCCTCACGTGTGCACGGTGGTTCACCCGTGAGCCAGGGCCAGTTCCCAGGCAGTTGTGCTCCAGGGACCCTCCTTTCCCTGGGTTCTGTCACAGTGACGAGGTAGGAGCAGCTCCGGTGTAGCCCGTGAAGAGGGCGAAAGATGACAGTGAGATTTGGAAAGAAAGGGACTTGAAGTGTTTATTTGTTTTTAATTTTCTTTTACACTGGAATCAGCATAATTGAGCAGGTCCACCCTCCATAGTGTTTGTCTCGGGACAGGAAAGCAAGGGTGGGGAGGACTGGTAGCGGCCCCCGATGTGGCTGAGAAGGTCTTCTCTGTGGGGAGCAAGTGGGAGGCAGGTTACCAGGAAGCTGGTGAAACCATTGCAGCTGGAAAAGCCTGCCTACTGGATAATGGACCCTGGATGTTTTGGGATAAATATTTTGACTCGGTAAAATGTGTTGGTAAAACTCGGTAAAATGTGTTGGTAAAACTGTTATGCTGGCACATTCTTGGTTTGTTTTAGCGAATCTTGGTTCTTGAGTTGATTGGAGTGGGTCACTATGTTTAGGGAATTAAGTCTGTTGAGAGCACCTCTGATGCGCCAGCCTGCTCCCGCAGCGTCTGTCTCCCGCCCTCGGAGTGGCTTGCTGAGGCCAGTGTTGGTCCCTGTTGTAGCGAGCGGAGTCTCAGAGAAAGTTGGGGATCTCTGAGGTCACAGAGGCAGGGCTGCGTTAGAGCATCTGAATCCACCGTACCCTGCTGTGCAGTGTGGCCTGTAGACTTGTAAGGTTTTCCCAGGAAGTACAGGAACAGGCCGGGGGGGTCCCCCTGGCCCCGATGCCGCCGTCCTTCCTGGTATTTACAAAGGCTCAACCATGTTCACAAGGGTTCGGAGGACAGCAAACAACAACAAACCCACAAGAGTATGTTCTTGATAATGGATCTTTATTGAGGGTGCAGAGCATTTGTCCGTATTTATATGGTGACTCTACAAAGGGTACTCTTGGTGTCGACGGACAGTATCAGTGCCCGGTGTGACGGCACCTGGAGGGTTCTTTGCCGGTAGCTCGGCCCCAGCACTTGGTTTTGCCCGTGTCGGGTGGGTGACTTCAGCACCTGGGCTGCTTTTCCTTAATCTGTAAGATCAAAGAGGTGAACGAGCCTACCTCTAAAACCCCTTTAAATCGAAATTCTGGAATAAGTTTGGTAACTTATACACAAAAATGTGTGGATAGTGAAAAGTTAACAGATGTTTTATTTAACATTTTTAGTAAAATGAACTCCTTGGGTCGCAGGTAGCTTGACTGAAAAATAAGTCCTTTGCTATCACTTCCCTTATTTTTAAATTGACCTGCCGTATTTAAAATACTGACACAACTAAATTTACCTTTTCTAAAGAAGATTTTTTTTTTTTAAAGATTTTATTTATCTATTTGACAGAGAGAGAGATCACAAGTAGGCAGAGAGTCAGGCAGAGAGAGAGGGGGAAGCAGGCTCCCCACTGAGCAGAGAGCCCGATGTGGGGCTCAATCCTAGGACCCTGAGATCATGACCTGAGCCAAAGGCAGAGGCTTTAAACCACTGAGCCACCTAGGCGCCCCCTAAATCTACCTTTAACAATGAAAGAATTCTTAGAGGGTTAGGTTGGGTTTGCCATCGTTAGCAAATAGGAAATTGCTCATTAAAACCATAAGGAGATGGCATTCTCTAGAACAACTGAAATTAAAGACTGACCTTCTCAGATATTGGTGAGGATGCAGAGGCATTGGAACTTTCAAAGGCTGTTGTCAGAAATGTGCCATGGTATGGGCATGTGAGAAGTTTGGCAGGTTTGTTAAAAATTTAAACATACACCTGTCATACGATGTAGCCACTCTACACCTATTTATTTACCGCTAAAAAAGGGAAAACATAGGTTATACAGAGACTGTGCACAGATATTCAAAGGAATTATATTTGTAATGTCCAGAAATGGAAACAACTCCGATGTCCTTACCAGGTGAGCAGCTACACTGTGCCACACAGAGAGACTGGGACACTGTCCCACAGTAAGAAAGGTGTGGGCTGTTGATACACACCGTACTATGGGCGAATGTCAACAGGTGTTGAAGGAAAGAAACCAGACCAAAAATAGAGTTCCTAGGGTATGATTCCATTTATATACTTTTTAAGAAAATGCAAGCTAATCTATAGTGAGAGAGCAGAAGGGTGATTGCCCGGCGGGGTGGTGCAGAGGAAGACACAGGATTAGAGGGTGCAGGAAGACTTTAGGGGCGATGGAGCTGTTCGCTGTGGACAGCGTGGGTCTTTTCGTGGGTGCGTCCATGTTTCAAAACTTTGCAAATTATATCCTGGAAATTCCTGCATTTTCTTGAGTGTCATTTCTATACCTCAGGAAAGCAGTTTTCAAAAGAAGATGAACTCAGAAACCAAAGACCCCACACAGCGTGTATTTTGGCAAGCACGGTGGTGTCGTTTCGGCCACCAAGGCTGGTCAGCGTCAGGGTTGGACGCGCCGTCTGTACGGGACACGTGAAAGATGCGGGGAAGGGGGTGAATCTTAGAGGGAGCCGGAAGCCGTTTCTCTTCCAAGCCACCAGGGCCTGCTCGGGGCAGCCAGCCATCTTCCCAGTTTGCTCAGTGGCTCCCCCAGAGGTGGAGGGAGGCAGCGGGCTTACGGCAACCGGGTGAAGCGCTCGGCTCCCGCCGTACCTGAGCTCCTTCTCGGTTCTTGCCACTGCCCTTCCAAGTTGTCTTTGCCCCTCCGCGTCCCTGGACACATCCTGAGTGCTCGTACCAGGGAGGTCTGAGGTGTTTTCGAGAGGCACACTCCTTCCCCCAAAGGACTGCGCTGTGGCCGGGTTGGCCATGGCCTGAGGCGACGTTACTGAGCGGGGCCACCTCGCAGTCTCCACCCGGCCGGGTGGTGAATCTATTCCGCACGCCTCACGCTGCCTCGTTCTCTGAGCCCTGTAAAGTGGCCCCATCTGAGCAGTGGTTTAATAATTAATAATGGGTTGTAGCGCGCCTGCTAAAAATAAAACAAAACCGTCCGTCTGCTAAGCGAGAACCAGAGGCTGTGTAAAGGAATGTGTTACGCTTAGCAGATGCTTCGGTTGGTGGAGGGGTCTTGTCTTCCTTCTCGCAGGCTGGGATTGAGCCTAGGAAGAATCGGAAGGAGTGACTTCCCTTCCCTTTCCTCGTCTCCTTTGTGACAGTCCCCTCGGGCTCTCTGCCTGTTTATTTTCAGCAGGCGGTGTGCAAAGTGCCCGTGTGCTTGGCTGCCTGGGCCGGCTCGGGGTGCTCCCCTTCCCCCCGGGAGCAGGCTGCTACCGCTCCCTCGGCCCCGCCGCTTGGGGTCCGCGCCAGGCCTTCGGGCGCAGGGGCGCGGGGGCGCAGCGGCGCGGGGGCGGCGGCCCGGCCTCACCGCGCTCTGCCCTCCCGCAGCTGTGGACGTGGCTGGAGGAGCTGCAGAAGGAGCTGCTGGATGACGTGTACGCCGAGTCGGTGGAGGCCGTGCAGGACCTCATCAAGCGCTTCGGCCAGCAGCAGCAGACGACCCTGCAAGTGACCGTCAACGTGATCAAGGAAGGGGAGGACCTCATCCAGCAGCTGAGGTGGGCCGCCTCGTCCCCGTCCTCCCGCGGGCGCGGGCGCTTTGAAATGGGGCCAGCGATTTCCCCTTCCCTGAACAATGAGCTGTGACCCCCCGCCCGGCGAGGTGGAGGACAGACGTCCTTTCTTCCTCTCCTCTCCTCTCCCACCGTCTTTCTGACGCGAGGGTTCCTCTCACGGCGGCAGACTGAGAGGCTTCCCAGAGCTCGGCTTGGAGTACTGTTTGCTCTTCACACTTAGCGAATGATTATTGAAATTTCTTCACAGACCGGATTGATGGAAACCTCCAAGCACCGTGTCCCTCATTCGTCCCTAGAGGATAACGGGGGTCCTTGTCCTCAGAGTTGAGGCTCAGGGAGGCCAGGACTTTGGGGAGGGGCGGACCTGTCCTGAGGTGCTCCTCCGAGCAGGAAGCGGGCCCGGAAGCAGATCCGTGTTAGTGGGTCACTCGGGATGCTGTTTGAATCGCGACTGGGAAGCTCACTTTTTGCCAATAGCCGGCGAAAGTGACTTGTTTGGGGCTGACCTGATTGCATTAGAGTTTAACCCCTTGTTGCCGCTCCGACCCCACCACGTGCAGCAGACAGGGGGCGTCTCTTCGTTCTCTCTGCCTAAGGAGAAGAGCGGCGACAGGGGAGCCCCCCTGAAGTTACTTTCCGCCCTAGACTTCCTTTGAGAGCGGCGGAGGGGTCCTCCGTGTGGCCTCCGACCCGGCAGCTTGCTTGTGGGAGGAAGCCCGGCCTTGTGTGGCGGGAGGGGCTGCCGATTCCATTTTTGGAGGCCAGCGGCCCGCTTCCTGCCAGCCGTCTTCCCCCTGAGGTCTGCGCGGCCGGCCGGATCTGGCGTCTGACAATGGGAGACTTTCTCATGCCTGTCCCGGCCCCTTCTGCCCTTCCGCAGGGACTCGGCCATCTCCAGCAACAAGACCCCCCACAACAGCTCCATCAGCCACATCGAGACGGTGCTGCAGCAGCTGGACGAGGCCCAGGCGCAGATGGAGGAGCTCTTCCAGGAGCGCAAGATCAAGCTGGAGCTCTTCCTGCAGCTGCGCATATTCGAGAGGGACGCCATCGACGTGAGTGTGCGCCGTGCACTGCTGTGCGGGAGGCTGCCCGGAGGCAGGGGGGGGGGATGAACGGAGGGAGGGAGGGAGGGAGGGAGGAGCGCACCTGGCCGTGGGAACTACCGGCCCCTGCTGGAGGCCGCACTGCAGGGCAGGGGAGGGAAGAGCAGAGCCCATGGGGAGGGAAGCCCAGCCGCCTCCAACAAGCCGCTTGTTGAAGCCGCACAGGGTCCCACGCCGCGCTCCCCGGCTGTGCAGCTCAGGCTCACACCTGCGCTCCGGGCCCTCACTTCTCCTTTCCGTGTCCCCGCCCGGCCTCCTCCCAGACAGTGAGAACAGGCCTCGCCTGTGCCGATGGCATTTTTGGCAGTCTGAGGGCCAGTTTCTTCCCAGAAGTGTGTTCAGATGATCGTTCGTTCTTATTACCTAAATATTACACCTTATACGTGAGGTTTCTTTTCTTTTTCTTGGACAAAAGGGCGGTTCTTAATTCTTTGTCAGGGATGGCCTGATTTTTGAACTTGATGAAGTACAAGCAGAAGTAAGTATAATTGGATGGCGCCAAATCTGTCTGTGGGACGTGATGAACCAAAACTCACTTCAGCCCGGCGAGGCCTCTTTCCTTGTGCCTGTCAGCTCCGAGACCAAGTCCCTGTCCAGGTACCTGCAGCCTGCCCGCTGGTTCTGTGACTGCCCAGCAGAGTCTGTAGGGCCTGCCTGCCCCATGCTAGTGCCTCGAGGGCGTGCAGACCCAGACCCTCAGTGCCACTGAAGGCAGAGGGATGATGGCTGGGCCGTGTGTAGACTCTTCACTTCTCTCCGCTCAGGGGAGGACCCTCTGCCGGAAGTCGGCCTCGCCTGCTTCTCTCAGGCCTGTCTGTAGGCCCAGTGCTGAGTGGTGGTCTTGGTGTGCTGTACAGGGACCAGGCCAGGTCTGGTGCAGGGTCGCTCGGGAGTCTCTGGTCAACCATCTGTCTAAACTTCATCAATGTTTTCATTAAAGAAAAGCCTTCTTGGCTATTTTCATTGTCATCATTGGTTCATGACAAGAAAAGAGTTAAATCCCAGGCACGTTGTCTGGTAAAATCCGTTCTCAGTGTCATGACCTTTGTAGCCACATGAAGCCATGTCGAGAAATGGACTCCTGTGCGGAGCTCATGAAGGGCCTGCCCATGGCTGGTGCCGTGTGCCAGTTCTAGGCTGCAGACTGTATGAACAGAGGACCCAGCTTGCCTCTTTTCGTCTGTGGCCTCTACTTACATGAATTGCTATGATAAACTTAGCTGCTCTTGAGTAGCTTCAGTGAGGAAACACAGAGCAATCAGGCATGATTTGAAGCTTTTCTTCAAGACATTGTGATATTTAAAGAAAATCTCTTGCCTTCATTTGCATTGCTGCAACTTTAAAGGAAAAAAATATTCTAATTGTCTTTCCATTTTCAACAAAGCAGTATTTTAATATGTAGCTCAGGAACCAGAAACACAGTTTTCCCCACCCTGAAGCCACAAAATTCCAAGGGGCCGTAAGAAAACCAGTGTGCCAGGCCAGGGGCTAGTGCTTCCTGAGGTGAGGACGTTAAACCTGCGGTTCAGTCACAGGCCGGCTAAAATGTACTTTAAAAGCTTTTAGAATGTCTTAGCCCAAGAATCTCTTTTCTCTTGGAATAATCCTGAAACAGGAAAACCTGAACAGTTGAGGCTTTGCCTGGGATTTTGTCCCTTATCCGGGAAAATGCTCCGATCCGCCCGTAGGAAGCATGGAGTTATCTTTATGGGAGGAACTTATCTGTTCCTTGGCCAATTTTTTAAAAAATCCCTGATCTCTCTTGTATCTCACAGTCTTGCCATCTTTCAAAAGTGGATTTAGGTTTTCTATGGCTTAGAAATACTGCAGCCTCAGCCTGCTGATGTTCCCAGTAAAGTCTGCTCTATTGGTCTGAGGACTACAAAGTCCTGACTGTAGCATTCTGTGACAGTTACTGTGGAGCACAGTTGTATGTACATTGAGGAAGAGGAACTTGTAGAATTCGTAAACATTCCGGGATCCAATTAAAAACAACGTTACTTCAAAGAATTCGTGTTCAAAAATGACTTCCACTTTCTTGAACTTTGTTTTTGCCACCGATTTCTTGTCTTCTCTTGTATGGTTAACAAGCTATCATGATAAACTTTGGGTGGGATTTTTGCCTGATGATCCCTTGATCATGGCCATTGCCAGGGTTTCTTAAAGCTCAGTGAGTACTTTTGAATCCTGCTGGTTCTAGAACATTCATCCTTGTTTGTTATCCGCTCTTGAGTGTTGTCTGAGCCTGATGCTTTCTCCATGAGACATTATTGCTGAGTCTGTGTCTCAGCCACACCTAACCCTCTCCTACCTCAGTGTCAGAAAAGGAACCTTAAGAAAGAAAATTCCCCTTAGGGTAGAGATAAAAATTAAAGGTATGGTAAGCTCTTTCCTTTTAAAAAATATTTTCCCTCAGTGGCTTTTTGGCTTATGTGTAATTTAACATTTTTTAAATTTATTAATCTTATAGATTAGCCCAATTTAATAAATTAATGTGAATACACATACTATATGCAGACCCTACTAATGACCAAATATAATCCAGAAGATTTGTGCTCTAGGAGTCTGGGGAAGCCTGCAGTTTTTATTACTTCCCATCTCCTAGCTAGGTTCAATGTGACCTCTCTCACCTTGTCAGATTTTCACACTCAGGTAGTCACTGCTCATCTGGATAAGGAAATCAGAACTCATGGGAAAGGTTATTCCACTGAGGTAGAGATAATACAGTGTTCTTTCACAAGAGGTTTTTTTCTTCTTTCTGGGTTTCGTAATTTTTGGCCTTAATTTTAAAAAGTAGATTACAAAAGTTTTCAAACCGGCTCCCAAGTAGCAAGGGTGATGCAGTGAACGTCCACAGGCCCGTCTCCCAGATGGGGCAGGATTGTGTCTTCTTGCCGCACACATCCCCACTGTTGTGTGGTAGCCTCCTAGAGCAAAGCTTTGCCAGCTTACCGCTTCCCTCCTGAAGACTTATGTAAGTATCTCTATAAAGTAAGGCCTTTTCCCACATAACCACAGTCTACCACCCCTCACCAATCAGAGTCCTTGATCTCTAACTAACACCCAGCTCCTGCTCAGACCTCTGCAGCTGCCTTGGGGGCGGGGAGGTTTGGGCGCCGCTTATGTGGTTGATAGTCTTTCCATCCAGAATCATCTCTCCATCCACCCTTCTTTTATTTCCTGCTGTGACTTGTTGGAATGACTGCGTTAGTGGAAGAATTTAGGTCCCACGTTCTGCATTCACTTAGTGATTTTCTTCTGTTCTTTTCCTGGTATTTCCTATCAACTTGAAAATTCAGTGTAAAGACCTGGTTAAGATTCGTGTTCAGTTTCTGTGCCAGATGCTCCCAGGGGCCACGGCTTCACCTGTTAGGTGGCTGGTCCCATCTGGTCCCACTTCTTTAGGGAGCTAATGTTGGTCTGTGGGGTTAGGGGCTGGCGGCCTGACCCTCCCATGAAGTCCCTCCATCCCTTCCATTGTAGTTTACTGCACATTGATGATCCTGGCCCGAAGCGTTACTTCACTAGAATTTCAATACAGAATTAGAAAAAAACTTTATAATTTTATTATTTCTACATTTAATAACTAGATCTATCTATAAAGGGGAACCTTCCTTCATTGTTATCAAAGGTTTAAATAATTATCTCTTTTACCAGGTTCAGGATAAAGGTTGGTTTGCAGTCAACTTCTAATCAGAGGAGTTTTTCATTTAATTTTAAGCTTTTTACCTCTTCTTTTTTAAAAAAAAAAATCATTAGGAATTAATGTGTTCTTATATATTTTTTAAATTTTATTCACTCATGATAGATTGTTTTTCTTTTAATCTAACTGCCCCATCTATGGCTTGTGGGAGCCCCTATAGCTGGCTTCCATGTGCTTTGGACACGGTCACATTAGTCCCTTCCTTCCTTCCTTCCTTGGCACAGTGAGATGCTGCAGCAAATACTTATTTTCTAAGTCTTGGTCCTAAGAAGGTACTCTCCTCTGTCAGATCATCTCAGACCTTGAGTCTTGGAATGATGAGCTTTCTCAGCAAATGAACGACTTTGACACGGAAGATCTCACAATAGCAGAACAGCGCCTCCAGCACCATGCAGACAAAGCTCTGACCATGAACAATCTGACCTTCGATGTCATCCACCAAGGGCAGGACCTTCTGCAGTACGTCAATGAAGTTCAGGCCTCCGGTAAGGAGTGCATGTCATTCTGTCAGCTGCGGGGTTTTCATGTCATACAGGAACTCAACCTGTTAGTGTGCTGGCCCCAAAGTTTAGTGAGCCCCCGTCACGTAGATGTTCTGGGTACCGGCTCTTCAGAAGGAACAGTTTGCCGTTTTATTTCCACGTACTGTGATCATGTGTAACATTACGATTAGTGTCCTTACCCTTGTTACTCTTGCCTGTCATCTCAGGGAGCATGAACTCCGGCTGTATGTCCACGAGTGAAACGGGAATCTTAAAAGAATGTTCACATCCTTCATTTCCTATCTTAGTTGATGTGTTACCAGCAGATGTCACTCTAGGCTCAGAAATGTACAGAGATGTCCCTAGTGCTTGAAACTTAGCAGCAACCTGCTGCTCCGTTCCTTATTCACTTTACACAAATCAGATTAAATGCTTCCTGAATAGTAAGCTGGGTGCCAGTGGAGGTACGGCAAAAACAAGCCCAAGTTCGCTCACTGGTAAAGCCAAGGGGCCCGAGTGCCCAGTTACCACTGCAGAAACAGATTGACGGGAAAAGGGTTTGGTTTGATTAGCTCTACATTACCGTTTTGCTTTGGAACACATCAGATACCTTCTTACAGACCCCTCACGTGCACCTGTAAACACTCCTCTGCCCACTCCGCCTTCCTTGAACTTGGCCTTCAAGGTAACAGGCCTGGTCCGGGCCGGGCAGATAATCTTCACAAAAGCGCAGTGTGTGTCGTGCGTAGCTGAAGAGCAGCAGATGTGCCCGTCAACCTCTGGGCCTCCCTTCCTTGTCTGCAGGCGTGGAGCTGCTTTGCGATAGAGACGTAGACATGGCAACTCGGGTCCAGGACCTGCTGGAGTTCCTCCACGAGAAGCAGCAGGAGCTGGACGTGGCGGCGGAACAGCACCGGAAGCACCTGGAGCAGTGCGTGCAGCTTCGCCACCTGCAGGCCGAAGTGAAGCAGGTAAGCCGGCTGCCGGCCTCCAGGGCCCCGCGCCACCAGCCCTCCGAGGAGGGACCGCCTGGCCACCTGGGACACCGAGCACAGCTGTTGGAGGTGTGGTGTGAGTCCCCGTTCGGCCACAGCTCGGGGGGCGAGGACAGAGCCAGTGCCTGGACCACTGTGTGCTTCCTCTGCAGCGGGAGACCTTCCCCGCCCAGCAGGGGGATCCCCAGAAGGGAACGTCTGCTTAGCTCGTTTGTGCTTGGTGGCCTCTTGTGGAAACGGAGCACGTTGCCTCTCAGCTAAGTAACTGTAGGATAGTTCTGCCGGATCAGCTGTTTTCAGTCTGCCTGGGGTCCGAGGCCAGAGAGGGCTGGGGTTGTCTCCCGTGGCCAGCCTGCGCCACCACCCTATCTCAGAGAGCGTGGCCAGATGAAAATGGAACGTCGGCAAGCGGCTGCTCCTGGCTCCTGGCCGAGGGGATTCCTGCACACACTCCTGGTGTATGTGACATTTTATCTCATCATCAGAGAAACCACGCCTACCGCCGTGATACAGGGAAAGTAGGGCTTTCTGGGATTCCGGTGGAGTCACAGAAAAGTGTGCGTTAGGTTGAGCAGGGAGTAAGGGGCCTCTGGAGGGTGAGCAGGTGTGGGCCCTAAGTGGGCAGCACCCACACTCCAGCAGATACACTGTCACACTGGAGAGCTTTAAGGAGCACCTGCTGGTCTCCCATGTGGTGAGATGAGGTATCGCGACCTGCCTTTTAAAGACCAGTTAATAAAATGTTCCTTCTTGCTAAAAACAAAACAGTGTGTCTGAGAAACAAAGGGATAAACTATCCACAAGGAATTGCATTCACCTGTAACAGTCTAAAAGTGGTGCTCAGAAATTACTGACTGGCGTCCGCATGGCCACAAGACAGGTCAGGCAGATACATGGGCGACAAGCTGTCAGGCGGCTGCTGTAGCCCCAGCTCTCCGGCACTTCCCAGGCAGCAGGAGGGGAACGACATAACTGGGAGGAAGCAGCACTTGCCTCAGAGAAGAAGCGTGTTCACATGGCGCTGGTCTTGGTAGCTGGAGAGAGCATCCGGACTGTAACGAAGCAGTGGTGGCGGGACAGTGAAGTGGCTTTATGTTAACCTCCGCTCCCCACCCCCCAGAGTCAGGGCTCTCTGAGACAGGAGATGAGGAGAAGTAGGTATTGGTAGGTAAGCAGCGTTCTGTGCCACAAATAACTGCCCACGGTGACCTTCCACAGTCCCGTGGCTGCCACAGTTGGGATGCTCTTATTGGTGTGTGATGCTGAGGATCCCCGGGGGGCGACCCTGAGCCTCGGAGCCCCGCCGATTCCCCTCTTCGGTTAGTGGGCCATTTAGCACTGGCGCTAAATTGGAAAATATGTTGGTGAAATAAAACAATTCCCTTATTAAGCAGTTTGCTAATTTTGCATGTTTATTTAAAAAGGAATGAAAAATATTTTTCTTGATTATCAGGGAATTATTTCGTGTTTTTTCTAACGATTGTGTTGACTTGAGAGTGAGCGTGTGGGTGCGTGCACGAGCAGGAGTGGAGGGGCAGAGGGAGAGGGAGGAGCAGACCCCCCACCGAGCAGGGAGCCCAGGACCCTGGGATCATGGTCTGAGCCGAAAGCAGACGCTAAACTGACTGAGCCACCCAGGCGCCCCATTTTTAGGGAGCTGTGGTAGTAGATATTCTGATAGGTCATTCATAATCCGTTTTGACCTGTGGGCTAATAATCACAATCAGCCGGACTCCCCACCTCTTTAGCACCCATCTGAGGCTGTAAGAGAACTGATTTAATTTTAAAATGCAGCACTCAGGATCAGATACTGTGGAAAGATGTCAGGCTGTCGGCAGAGGGATCATAAGGAAACCCGTGCTTCATGGCTGATGTGAGCAGCTTGAGCACCTTGTCCTTGTGGCTCGTATTCCTGCTGTCCCACAGGGGGATCTCCTGCGGGAGGCCGATGCTTGGAGGTCCCTGTGTCATGTTTCAGGTGCTGGGCTGGATCCGCAACGGAGAGTCGATGCTGAATGCTGGACTCATCACAGCCAGCTCGTTGCAAGAGGCAGAGCAGCTGCAGAGGGAGCACGAGCAGTTCCAGCACGCCATCGAGGTAGGGATGCCGGCCCACCTCCCACCTCCCACCTCCCACCTCCCACCTCCCTCCTGGTCTGCTGAGCCCCCGATGTCAGGAGCACCTGCACCTGAGAACCTGAGCTGGAGTCTGGGCTGAGGGGCTTTACGTTTTGCTGGTCTTGTACACATGCTCCTGGACAGAGCAGAGCAGTGCACATCACCAATAAACAGCACCGTCCACGGAACTCCTCGACCCTGGTTCCAAGCAGCAGTCCTCACCTTCGTGGGGTCAGTGCCAGGCCAGGTCCAGGCCCACTCAGATTCACTGTCACAGCATATGAATTAATTAATTGTCGTGTTTTTAGGGAGGGGGGAGTTAATTATGGTAGGTAGTCTCAAGGTAATGGGAAAAAGAGCATTTGATTACAGATTACTTGTTACATACATAGAGAAAAAAGCCACAGAAAATACCGTTAATTTATTTTCAAGATTGACGTATTTTCAACTACTCAGCACCAACAGACACATATTAACACTTCCTCCTGAAGCCCAGACTCTGGGCATCTTCTGAAAACTATACGCTATGCCTAGTGTTCTAATAATTAAGTTCCTAATACGTGTCAGTGTGTCTGGATGAAGGATAGTGTTGGTCATATTGCGTATAATCTTTTGTGGGGTCATTTAGTGCCTTTCTAGTAAAATGCAAAATTTCGCTGTGGCTAAAAAAAAAAAAAAAAGAAAAAAAAAAAGAAAAAGAAAATTACTCTGTGTCCGCAGAGACCCATGTACTCCCCCTAACTGCTCTTCTGTCTGGTGCTGTGATTCTTCTTTGGGAGAATCTGACCTGTCAGCCCCTCATGGAATTTTCTAGTGAACGTCCACAAGCGGGAATTCCTACTGGGTTTCTGATGTTATTTTGATATTTTAATATGGCTTGAGCCTCCAGAGTATGCTCTTAGCTCATTCCTGGCTTTGAATTATGTTTCTCTCTCTCTCTTTTTAAAGGTCTGTAGTTCTTGAAAACTTTTTACTCAGGTCTAAAGTTTAAGGTAAAAATGAAAAAGGCATTCAGTGTGACCACATTTTTCACCATGTGTCTGTGTGCCTCCAGCTGCTGTTATAAGGAAGCTCAATAGGAAGAATAAACTTGGAACATTTCAGCAGCTTTTTCAGAGTATTGGCTCTTAAGGCTTTTCTCTGCTATTTCTCAAGCTGAGAACCCCACGACAGGGACCCATTCTGGAATGTCATAATGCATTTCATCTTCGTAATATAAATGCAATTGTGGTTAGGCATGAAAACTATGAAAACTACTTCTTCTTCTCTCTCTCTTTTTTTTTTTTTTTTTTTTGGACCAAGCAGTCTGCTGTGTTTGTGGAAGTGTCCTAATGAGTACTCAGTGAAGTTGTTTCTATAAAAACAGGAGGAGCGGTACCACAGCAGCCTTCCGTGTTCCTTTCCAGTAAACGCATGGCAGCCCAGTTAAGTAAGCATCCCTTCTCCTTCCTCTTTCCTTAGAAAACACACCAGAGCGCCCTGCAGGTGCAGCAGAAGGCAGAAGCCATGCTGCAGGCCAATCACTACGACATGGACATGATCCGGGACTGCGCCGAGAAGGTGGCCTCCCACTGGCAGCAGCTCATGCTCAAGATGGAAGACCGCCTCAAGCTCGTGAACGCGTCTGTCGCCTTCTACAAAACCTCAGAGCAGGTGAGGAGGCAGGTCCTGCGCCCTGCGCTCCTGACCAGCCTTTTATGTCGAGCTGCGTTTTATCGGACAGCTCTGTCATTAACCCCACAGTCATTACTAAGCCCGTCAGTTCAACTGCAGGCAGGGAAGAGCATTCTAGAAGTAGAAGAATTTATTGCTTATCTTAGGAATCAAAGAGTAATGGGTTGGAAAAGAGCTGAGAAGACCTCCGTTTTCCTCTCATTTAAATACATAGCCTGAAACACACCAGAGAGAGACCAGGAATTCTGTTTTTATTTGGTTCTTGTTCTGAAAGGCCTATCTACTGCCTACTTTGTCCCCTGCATTTGTCCTCGCGTAAGACGGAGCCCATGGTTCCTTGCAATGGTCTTGGTCCCCAGGCCAGCACCTTTGTCCCCAGCACATGACCAGCCACACTTGCCAGAGATGCCGATCTGTGCCTGACCGGCCTGCTCTGAGCCTGCGACTCCTCTGCTCACAGGTTTGCAGTGTCCTCGAGAGCCTGGAGCAGGAGTACAAGAGAGAAGAGGACTGGTGTGGAGGAGCCGACAAGCTGGGCCCCAACTCGGAGACGGACCATGTCACCCCAATGATCAGCAAGCATCTGGAGCAAAAGGAAGCATTCCTGAAGGTACAGAGGCGGCTCTTTGGGGTGCCGGTGCCTCTCTGAACGAGGGAAACAGACGTGAGAGGGTTTGCCTGAAGGTGGCAGGGTCTGGACTGTCTGTCAGAGAACCACAGATGTCCCCATGCGCCAGGCGTGTGGCCGCCTCCACATCCCAGGGGGGCTCCCCGCACCTGCAGCTTTCCCCTGTGTGACATTGTATCAGCCCTGGGCTAGCTGGTCAGAGAAAGTCTTAAAATCTTCCATTTGTGATTTACACTCTCTAGTTTTCCCAGAGAGCTAGAAACCCGTGTGAATAGGGCCTGGGTGGACATCAGAACACCAGATGATTCTGAGCAGAGACTGATTCGGTGAGACAGAAATGCCTATAGCTTAAAAGAATCTTCCTTTGGAAATTCAGCCTTTTTAGAAATAAAGCCTGAACCTAGTGCAGAGTAGACCCAAAGCAGGAACAGCTCTTGTTGTATGCAGGATTGGTTACTTCGTTCAGGAAGCGTTTCCTGCAAAAGAAACTTAATCCCATTCAAGCCCGGCTGGAAGTCTGGACTCTGAGATTCTGTCTTCTTCTGCCTTGATGAGCTAGAATTATTCCCTCATTAGCTATTTGGTTACTCTCAAACAGAACGTGTCCAGAAAAGGCAGGCTAAGTGCTTTAATCTTTCCATTTGCTTATCATTTTCAGAATAATGGGTTGTTTGCCCAGGCTACCTCTACATAGGATTAGTTTTTGTTCTGTCTTCCTGGATTTTAAGATATTTGGTGTATTTTGATCACTTGCAGTCGTTTATCCTTTTATACTCAACTCGTCCCATTCATGGAAGCTCCTTCCAGTCAGGTTGGCTCTGATGTCCTCCTCGCATAACCACGGTCATCCACTGCTGCTTCCTCGCTGTTTGGAATGCAGCCAATTTCAGGCTAATCTGTGGAGACTCAGGATACATTTTTCTCTTAATTAAAAACTGTCCCAACTCCATCTACTGCAAAGGCCTGGAAACATTGACCACCCAGAAACAATGAGCTCCCTGTGTCTTGTCCAGATTGTGGCCTAAATACCCTGTATCTGAAGGAGGAGACAGAGCTTCTGGAAGAAAGAGTAACTCCAGGGAGGAGACAGGAAATGGATAAGATATTTCCAACTCAAATATAATTAAGAATATTTTTCCTCTTGTTTTTTTTAAATACATTAATGAAATTAACTTATTTGGTTTATAAATGTGGAATCCGCCGGTTATCTATTGCCATAGTAACACCACAAATCAAGGCACCCCCAAACTGACGGCTCACACCAGGGGTTGGCAGTCTAAGCACCTGAGAGCTAAATCTATCTGCTCTCCTCATCTCCTTGCTGCCCGTGGCTGCTTCCCTCCACGGTGGTTGGGTTCAGTACTGGCAACAGGGAGACAGAGAATGTATGACTTGGAAAGCTGAAAATACTGTCTGCCCTTTCTAGAAATCCAGGCACAGCTTAGCTGGGTGCTCTGAGTCAAGGTTTCTCCCAAGGCTGTAGTCAGGGTGTTGCCTGGGAGATGTGGTCAGCTCAAGACCTGGCAGGAGAAGGCCTCCAGCTTCTCCCACTGTCTGCCAGCAGCCACTCTCAGTCCCCTGCCCCATGCGCCTCTCTGTAGGGCGGTGCTCAACACAGCAGCTGGTTTCATCAGAGCAAGAGCTTCAAGACAAATTTTTTTTTTTTTAATTGAAAGAGGATATAACCTATGTACTCTCCAAACCGCAAGTTGGCCCGATGAATGTTTTAGGTCAAGACATTCGTTAGAGCTGTATGATGTTGTCATCCGTAAGTACTCAAAACACATGTTTGTCTAAGTCGTGTTAACAACATGCTGCCCTCCATGTATCTCTTAGGCTTGCACACTCGCTAGAAGGAATGCAGATGTCTTCTTGAAATACCTGCACAGGAACAGTGTCAACATGCCAGGAATGGTGACACATATCAAAGCCCCTGAACAACAAGTAAAAAGTGAGTACCGCTACGAGTCATTCTACTGGGAGCAGTACGAGGAGTTCGGCAAGATGTGTTCGAAGATCCTGACATCCAGGGCTTCATTTTATTTGTTTTTCTGTTTTTATTTTAATTTTTAAATTTTATTTATTTATTTGAGAGCGCACACATGAGAGAGCACAAGCACAAGCCGGGGGAGCAGCAGAGGGAGAGGGAGAAGCAGACTCCCCACTGAGCAGGGAGCCTGATGCGGGGCTTGACCTCAGGACCCTGGGATCATGACCTGAGCCAAAGGCAGCCTCAGCTGCTTAACTGCTTAACGGATTGAGCCACCCAGGGCTTCATTTTAAATGTCTGCTTCGTATTAACATTCTTGCCAGTTGCCTTTGTTTAATAATAAAATATGAAGCAAATGATATAGATTAATACTTTGTTGAATAAAGTTGAAGAGTATAAGCAGGGACAAAATGCAGCATGATATTTGTTAGCATGGACTATTTTGTGCAAGCAAGGGAAAATATTGTAAATTAGGGGAAAAGGAAAACCAGAATTTATATATAGTCAAATACTTTTAAAAGTTCAAGTCAGGAAATTGTACACCAAAGTTTTTGCTGGAAGGTATTACTGATTCTATATACTTTAAAGCATTAATAAAATCAAATTGCCACATATCATACCTTTTGGTATCATTTGAGTGTAAAAGTCTATAAAGCTTATGTTTTTATGTATGCATATATATAATGTAAGTGCGTAGAAACTGATCTGGGAAAATTTGATACGAAACTGTTAATAGGATCAGTATGGATAGAAGCAAGGGGGACTGAGGGTTTTTATTTTAGAATTCTGACTGAGTACTTAACAGTCAAAATACATGTAGGTGGGGGCGCCTGGGTGGCTCAGAGGTTAAAGCCTCTGCCTTCGGCTCAGGTCATGATCCCAGGGTCCTGGGATCGAGCCCCGCATCGGGCTCTCTGCTCCGTGGGGAGCCTGCTTCCCTTCCTCTCTCTCTCTGCCTGCCTTCCTGCCTACTTGTGATCTCTCCCTCTGTCAAATAAATAAATAAAAAAATCTTTAAAAAAAAAAAATACATGTAGGTGTTCTCTAACTTAAAACTTAGATTTAATCATAGTTTCGTTTTGTTTTACAATTAAGATGACATGGAAATAGATCCTCAGAAAAATGAATAAGAGTTTGAAAGAGTCTTGACATCGAGGCCCCTGCCGTCCTCACGGGGGGCTTCAGAGGCTGGCAGTAAACAGAGGAGGAACCTAGGCCCACAGCCTGAGTGCTCAGAGTTGGGTTTCATAACCCATTAACTAATGATTCATCTCACTTTTTAAACCCATACAGTGGGCAGAAACTTTTGTACCTTATATCCCCTCCTTGTTCATCTGGACTCATCTGTCAGTTGTCACAGAAAAATGTCACACTGAAAGAGTCCCCAGGGCTCTACAGAGGAGAGTCGTCTTTGGTGGGTTTCTCTCTCAGGGAGATGAGTGACTAACACAGCCATTTTTCAGCAAGTTACTTGCATTGGTAATCAGTTTATTTGGCTCATTTCATATAACCGTCACTGCCTTTCTCTCCTCCATCAGTATTGCCTTTGATTGTTGGTTGTACTTGGCTTTCTCTGATCGCAGATGTTATGATCCTTACCATGTTGTACCAGTCCGAGGGGTGTGTGCGTGTGTGAGGAGTGTGTGTCCCACGTGCACACTTACTGGGTGGTCACTGTGTTTGCTGCTCTACGTTATCATTCTGGATGCTCTGAAGAGCTAAAAACAAAATGTCCTGTTTCTCTCATTGGGCACTTGGGGACGAGAGACTTACATGTGGAACAGTGCAGTAAATCCACGTAAGGGTGATGGTGCCAGAAGACACTGTGTCCGAGGACACCAGACAGTCCTTCAGGTCCATGAGGAAGCCCCCAGGGGGTTTTTGGTCCCAGTCCTGGCAGGGGTTCTCTGCGCTCTGCCTGGCCTCTTACTCACCCCAAATCAGTCGGGCCCCAGGCAGGGACTGTAGAAAGAAGAGCCTGGAAAAGACCCATTGGCTCATCTTAGTTTTTACATGTGATGTTTTTATTTAAATGGTAGCTTAATTTTTTGACTAGCCTCAAACTTCAAAGTCTTAATTTGTGTCACTACATTAGTTTACTTTTTCAGTAAAGATAATGGAGCATGACCACCGAGCTGCCACGTAAATCCTGCTCACAGGTACATGTTAAACATCTAACTCTTGATCTCAGCTCAGGTCTTGATCACAGGGTGGTAAGTTCAAGCCTCAGGTTGGGCTCCAACACTGGGTGTTGAGTCTACTTAATAATAATAATAATGTATCTTAGTCCTCTTTCTATATCAGACTTTAAAGATCTGCTCTATCATATGGATATGTAATGTCCAGCCAGTATAATGATTTCATAGTTGACTTAACCTGTCCCCTAGTTGGGCTCAAATGTCACTGCCAGTTTTTCCAAACAGTGCCTTCATGTTCATGCTCCCAAGTACACATGACTTGTGTAAGCACCGTACATCTGAAGAATAAATTGCTGGTTCAAAGGTGTGCACGCTTCCGATGATGCCACCTATTGCCAGAGTGCCCGCTGCAAGAGTGGTGCTGTTTCCCCGCAGTAATACGGGGTCACCCGTGCATGTTCCTCTCCCCCCCCCATGCTACCAGCGCTGGATAGCACCAGTGCTTGCAGGAAAAGGGTGCAGGATGGTCTCTTTGTTTGAGTGAGGTTAAACGTGTTTGTGTGTATTTAGTGGCCATGTTACGAACTTCACGTTTATATGCTTTGCTCGGGGCACCCGGGTGGCTTAGTTAAGCGTCTGCCCTCGGCTCAGGTCATGATCCCAGGGTCCTGGGGTCGAGCTCCACGGAGGGCTCCCTGCTCAGAGGAGAGTCTGCTTCTCCCTCTCCCTCTGCCTCTCCACCTGCTTGTGCTCACGCTCTCTTGCACGATCTCTCAAATAAATAAATGAAATCTAAAAATAAAAACAAATTAAAAAGTCTTTTTGCACTTTGCTCATTTTTCTAATGGACCTTTCATCTTTTTCCTGACTAGCAAGTACATTTGGTCTGTGTCTTATATTTTTCTGATAATTTTAACTAGCTTTTTATTGGTGCTGTACTGTTATGGTAGTTTTTCTTTATCGGGGTTTTCTGGCCTTTCTGGCTCCATGCTTCTCTGCTTCATGTCCTTGCTTCTCCTAATGGTTTAATTTTTGTTTTTGTCCTTATTTTTAAAAAAAGGAGAAGAAGAAAAAAAAAACTTTTCTTCTAGTACTTCACCGTTATGACATAGATCCTATATACTAAATAACTTCTACAAGAAGGTTTTAATGTTGTTGAACAAATTACCTACTCCTGAAGTTTTTCCAGCCATTGTCAGATTGCCCTGCAGGGATGCATAGTTTATCCCACTCATCCAGATAACGTGAGATATTGGACGTCAGCCTTCAGTTTCCAATGACCTCAATCATAAGATAACAGATTGGGGTAAGAGCAGAAGGAGAGGTCTGGTGGACACGCTCGCTCACTGAGAACATGGGGAGAGCAAGCTGTGTGGCTCTTAATCTAATACCCTGTCTTGCACTGACATTTGCATAAAGTCTTTAAATAACATTGGTTGGGATTTTGCAAGTGTTTCCACTGCTTGTAAGTACCAACATACGTCTCTGTTTTTGCTCTCTTAGATATCTTGAATGAACTCTTCCAACGGGAGAACAGGGTATTGCATTATTGGACCATGAGAAAGAGACGGCTAGACCAGTGCCAGCAGTATGTGGTCTTTGAACGAAGTGCCAAACAGGTCGGTCTTTACACCGGGCTCCCCTACACTCTCTGGCCTCCACTGGGTGGCTCTTGACACATCAGCCGTTTCTGAAAACCACTTTCAAATGATCAAAACAGTCATGTCTTTTAAATAAATTTGTCATGAAAAGAAAACCCCTATCCTGTAAAAATGTGATTTGGGCCCTCAGCAAGTGTGTCACACAGCCGGCCTCTACTGCCATTAGCTCGGACATAAGACCACCAGGTACAAGTCCTAATTATGACAAGGACTCAAAAATTGTTATGGAAGCTAGGTTCTGTACTTGTAGAAATACTACAGTGGGTGGGTTTTTTGTTGTTGTTGTTTTTTGCTGGATTATATTTTCAAGATAAAATTTTGTTCTTCAGATAACTTGAGCTAAAATTAGGTAAGAAATGTTTCAGAATTTCTAAGAATTCAGTAGAGTTAAAAAATGTTCATGCAGTTGACTAATTCAGAGACCTCAAGAGGGTGCATTTGCAGAGCATGGGGCTGGCTCACTTAGTAGAGCACGGGACTCCTAATCTCAGGGTCATGAGTTCAAGCCGCATGGTGGGTATAGAGCCCACTTAAAAAAAATAAGTAAAAAGATAAGGCTAGAGTTTCCGTCTTCTGAAGCCATTTTGGGATAAGTGCTTCCACCAGTATGGTTAGTCGTGGAAGATCGTTTTAGGGTAAAGCCTGTCTGACCCCTAACGTGAACTATAATTTCTGTCACTTCTTGGCATTAACGGTAGCACAGGAATCCGTAAACTGTTGGTCCAGAATGTGGAGAGTCTGGAGGGCACGGAGGGCAGAAGGCTCGCTCACAGAACACCTATGTGAGCCATCTCGTGTTCTGCATGTCAGGGAGCTTAAAGTCGCTGGGGCCTCTTCAGTGCTGTGGGTCTCTGGTCACTGTATCAGACATGGACAGTCTTCTAATTTCACCTGTGCCTGCCACAGAGTAGGCATTCAGTTAAATCTTCAACTCAAGAAAGATTAAATTTTCCTCAGCACAGTTTCCCACTTAGGGAGAATATTTTCGATTTGATCAGTGTTGGTTTCAGGCGGACAGTGAGGGGCTCAGAACGGCTTAGTTCCCCTGAGGCTGGTAAGCCAGAGCTCCTCGACTGTAGACCTGGCACCAGCCTCAGCCCTTCCCTCATCTCGGCTGATGTTACCAGAAGTAGTTAGAGTCCCAACAGAAGTGGCAAGCAGCATTTTTTAGTGTTTAAATACAGTTTATTTAATGACAGTTCAACCGAATTTCAGACTTACGGGGCCTGATTTTGTTTCTAATTAGAGATTGTCTTATAATTCTTCTCATATGTCTTACTTTATTGTTTCTCTATTGAAAGGCTAGCAGTCATTCAGCTACAGAGAACACAATTGTAAATAATTATTTTAATAGAGAAAAACAATGGAATGTGTTGTTGCTTTTTCCTAAAGTCAGTTCATTTGCCCAAAATGAAATCTGGAAATGTAGGCCTCTGCAAGCCCGTTGGATTCTGTTCTGCACTGTGCTCACGGTCCTGCACTGAAATTGCTTATTTATAACCCCAGTCCTGGAGGCCTCCCCGACGCGCGGCACCCTGAGCTTAACTGGCAGGGATGCAGAGTGGTGATTCAGACCCCGGCTCTGGGGGCGAGTCCTGGCCCTCGGACTTCCCAGGCACCTCTGGCCTCCTCAGTGCTCTTCCCAGGCTCTCCGCTGTGGAACACTGGCATTCTCCCAGGCTGTCTGGGGCTGGTTCTTTCTTCTGTTTCCTATCTTCTTACCTTCTCTGCTGGTACCTCCCGGCCCTGACCCCCGCTTCGGGTCTGCAGACTTAGAAATCCCAGCTGCCTCCGTGGTGTCTACTTTGACCTTATTAAGACCAGAACTGGGCTCATGAAACCCTGTCCCCCCTCCTCATCTTCTGTGGATGTCCCCCAAGCCCCCTCTTTTCTTTTTAATTTTTTTCAGTGTTCCAAGATTCACTGTTTATGTACCACACCCAGTGCTCCATGCAATACGTGCCCTCCACAATACCCATCACCAGGCTCACCCAGCCCCCCACCCCATCCCCTCCAAACCCCTCAGTTTTTTCTCAGAGTCCACAGTCTCATGGTTCATCTCCCCCTCCGATTTCCCCCAACTCACTTCTCCTCGCCATCTCCCAATGTCCTTCATGTTATTCCTTATGCTCCACAGATAACTGAAACCATATGATAATTGACTTTCTCTGCTTGACTTATTTCACTCAGCATAATCTCTTCCAGTCCTGTCCCTGTTGATAACAAAAGTTGGGGATTCATCCTTTCTGATGGAGGCGTAATACTCCATAGTGTATATGGACCACATCTTTTTTATCCATTTGTCTGTTGAAGGGAATCTTGTCTCTTTCCACAGTTTGGTGACTGTGGCCGTTGCTGCAATGAACATTGGGGTACAGATGGCCCTTCTTTCCACTATATCTGTATCTTTGGAGTAAATACCCAGTAGTACAATTGCAGGGTCCTAGGGAAGCTCTATTTTTAATTTCTTAAGGAATCTCCACACTGTTTTCCAAAGTGGCTGCACCAACTTGCATTCCCACCAACAGTGTAAGAGGGTTCCCCTTTCACATTCTCGCCAGCACTTGTTTTTTCCTGTCTTGTTGATTTTGCTGGCCCCCTCGTCTTACAGAATGTGTCCTCCAGGCTCCATCGTCCTCTGTGGGTGTCCCCCAGGCCCCCTCATCTTATGGGGTTTGTCCCCCAGGCTCCATTGTCCTATGTGGCTATGTCCCCCAGCCCCCATCATCTTATGGAGTGTGTCCCCAGGCTCTATCATCCTATGTGGGTGTCCCCTAGGATCCCCTCCTCTTACATGGTGTGTCCCCGTGCCCCCTCACCTTCCAGGGTGTATAGCGCCTGGTTCCTTTCTTTCCCATTTCCCACCTTCACTCCTTCATGAGTCCCATAGGTGCAGACCTCCCACACGTGTCAGATCTGCCCTCCCGCTTCACATCCAGAGCCAGCATGCTGTAGGAACCCCAGCCGTGTCCTGCCTGAGTCTTGGAGCCCGTTTGCTGACTGGTTACTTCTTCCACTCGCTGTGTACTGCAATTCCTTTTCCACACGGCAGCCCTGTTAGCTTTCACAGAGAAGTCGAGGCTGTGCTTGTGAGCTCCTGGGCCTTCCTGCCCTCCCAACCTCTCTCCAGCCTCTCCTCTAGCCCCCGCAGCAGACCAGCTCAGCAGCCTGCGGCCACGGCACACCCCCCTCTGCCTGCTGAGTTTCTCCCTGTTTTTCCAAACCTGTTGCTTCCCAGCCAGCCTCTCCCGGCTTAGACACCGCCTCTGCTGATCTCCCGTTCTAAGTATGGTGTCCCTGCTCTCATTTGTCTTTGTGCGTCTTTCTTCGTCTTCCACTTCCTGCCCAGTCTGCAGGGGCAGGGCCGAAGCTCCACTCATTCCCCAGTCCCCCAGGTAGCACCTGACTCAACAATAGGCCCCCGGAGACAGTGTGATTAAGTACAAAAAAACCAGGGACCTTTGGAGGGACTTGACAAGCATCGCTTTCAGCCTCCAGCCCGCAGCACTGTTAACACTGTCCCGGGAGGGCTCCAGCCTGACAGCCGTAACTCCCGTGCAGTCAGCTGCATGGTAAGTCATCTGGCCAGGTCATGGTTTCCTTCTCAGTTTGCCTTCTAAAATGCTGTAGAGGCTGTGACGTATCTAATAGACACGGTAACATTTCTGCTCTAAGACAAGCGCAGCACAACGGATGACCCAGAGACTACAAATGGCAAATGTAAAAGCTTCTCCATTTTTATGTTTCTTTCCCACAGTGTTGGGTTTTTAGATGCATATGTTTGAATAAGTCTGATTTCACTTTAGTTACATGGAAATAGAAGTGATGAAACCACTTTCATCTAACGGCACGAGATCACATATGCATTAGAAATGGGTCTTTGCAGTCTGAACCTCTCTGGCCCCCTTCTTCTCAGGTGTACTCCCTTCTCTCCCTAACCTCTCCACCACAGGGGTTAGGCCCCATCGTCTGCTGGCATCCCCCAACCGCATGGCATGTTTGGCCATCATGGGATGGGACCCCCAAAAAGCAAGTGTGCTGGGTCCCACTGGTACTCAGTAAAGGCAGGAAGAGGAAGTAAGGCCTAAACATTTAGCGGCGTGAGTCTCTCAGATCACCTCCCATCCACACCTTCTCAGTATCTTAGAAAAAGGATCTTAGTGTTCGCTTCTTCTGTTGTGATTGTATTTCACGGGTATAAGAACCTCTTGAACTGTTTAATCATTGTGATATAAGTGATGTGCTTTCTAGAATGTCAGGGTTTTTCTTTTACTTTTGGACTTACAATAGTTATTTCAGAAGCTCATCTGTCCTTGAGGCAAGTACTTCTAGGTATGTGCCAGCCTTGGCTTGTGGCTTCACATCTGCGTGTGCTACGCACGGAATGGGGCTGCCTTTACCAGGGCTCAGCCATGAACATCTCCATTCCTTCCCTCTCTAGGCTTTAGAATGGATCCATGACAACGGGGAGTTCTACCTTTCCACACACACCTCCACGGGCTCAAGCATACAGCACACCCAAGAGCTACTGAAAGAGCATGAGGAGTTTCAGATCACTGCCAAGGTAGGTTCAGGTTGGTAATAAACATCTCTTCAGTCGCCTAGATGCCCAGCAGGTTTTCCAGAATAACCTAGAACAGGACACTTCATGTACATAAGGTAATTCTCAAAAAAATAAATAAATAAATAAAAAGTCACTTAAACTCCTTATCCAAAATTGGAGAAACAGTGGGACCCCAGTGGCTCATCATACATTAATGTAGGTGAAACTTCCTTCTGCCTTTCATGCTTCCCCTCAGCTGTCCCTCCCTATATGTGGTGTTCCCTTTGGATCCTCTGATTTTGGCAAATACCTTTATGTTTTCTCTTTTGTCCTTTCCATTACTTTTTTTTTTCCTTTCTATTTTCTTTTTCGAGGTCTTTTCTGAGTACTTGCTATTTTCAGGAAACACTCTTTGGTGTTACTGACTTGGTTGGGTGTGTTTTGTGGACACTCTTTGGCCTGGTGTCTGGTCAGTGATACTTCCTGCTGCAGCCCTGCTCACACCCCGCCTGGTCCAGTCAGGAATCCGTCTGGGGTACGGCTGGCAGAGTTCACCTCCGCGGGCTCGTAGTGCTTGTACAGGGGCTTATGCGAGTGGAGACACCTTCGCTTTCTTCCTGAAAGGCAAAATAGAATTAAACACATGGCATATGTAACATATGTGAGTAAAGATGAATTTTTAAGCCAATCTATAAGACTCCACACATTGCCACGAATATTTTCCCTGTTAGAGAATATACCCACAGAGGCTAACTCTTTTACCTCAAAACAGTTTTGAGATTTTTAGAGTTCCCTTCTCAACCCGTGGTATTTTTATTTTTGTTTTTCAAAGTTTTTGAATATACAGTCTTTGTAGTATTTTCAGAAGTGCCTCTGTTTTTGATGATAGATTTGAGGTTTTTTTTTTTTTTTTTAAACTGGAAATTCAGATTTACTGGTAGAAATAAGTGATTAAGCTGGATAGTCTATTTGGTTAAAAAGAAGTATTCCCACAAAGTTTAAAAAAAAATGATTTTCTCGTGTTGCCCTTAAGGTGGCTTTGAAAACCGTCAGTGGGAAATTTTTAAATCCTCTAGAGTGGCAACAGCTACTTTGTATTATGTTTATTTGTACTTTGTTTTCTGTAACTGTTTCTGACCCCTCCTGCTATTCCTCACTGCCCTCTGCCCGCCCACTAAATGTGGGCTCTGGGAACCCCTGGTCTTTGCTCTGGAAGAGCACACAGTCAAGTGCTGCTGTAGACAGACTGACCCCTTCGGGGCTCGGTGAGAGCTGGCACTGGTGGGGGCGGGGGGGCACCGTGAGCACTGGGGCTCGGGGGCAGGCTCAGGCAATCAGGCAATGACAGCTGCATCCAGAGGGGCCATGAGCACCCAGAGGGCGCCTACCCACTCATCTGAGGAGAGCTGACCTGCCTGCCCCTGCAGGTAAGCAGCGTGCCTTTTGCTTCCTACATACAGCACCCCTTTGGCTGTATAATTCTTGTTTTTCTTAGTAGTTGGATAATAAATTATAGTTGTGTACCTCATATGATCTATCTTTGTTTCTTTGAATAGCCTTTGATTATAGAGGTAGTAAGAAAATGCCTAAGATCCCACTCAGAGGGTAGATTTAAGATTGGTTCCTTTTCACGAGCTTTCATCTCTGTTAATGCTGTCCTCCGCAGGTCATTATGCACAAACAGCCCTGTCGCTGCACAACCCCAGGGGGCGCCAGGCACACAGATGTGATGTGAATGCCACTGTCTACAGTGCACTAGCATAGCAGCTGTGTTCCACCAGTGGGGTGTATACAAAAGGATTTTTTATTTCTGAATTTCCCTTCTCAAATTTGGGGTGTGGTTATTAAAGAATGAGCAGTAGCGGGCATCTTTTTGCCCTTGAATTTTGTAAAAAAATAAGCATCTAAAATCACAGGTAATATCTGACCTTGCTGTTTCCCAGATATCCAGAGCTCATATACGGAATTGGTTTTGCCAAGAGGAACTGGTAGATTTTGAAAAGAATACCTCTTATTCTTTTTCTTAGCCTTTTTATTCTTTTGGTTTCTGGCTGCCTTTGTTTTAATCAGACAGCCCCTGCTCTGGCCCTTGGAGGTGTTGCTCGCCTTCTATTCCCCTCTCACAGTGTCTTTAAGAAACCATTTTTCTTTCGTTATGTAGAGACTCTTTTGCTTTGACTTGACCGTCTTCTAGCTCTGTTGTTACAGTGGCTACTCTTGTAACATATTTAGTGTAATAGAAATAAAGCCTTTTGGTTACTATCTGACCTATGACTCAGCTGCATTCCTTTGCAACTCTTAATGTAATAATTTCTCAAAGTGCTTTGCAGGCATCACCTGCATCCAGGTCACGAGTGTTTACTTAAAAGCCAATTTCTGTCCTTACTTGAGACTTTTTAGGAGTGAGACCTGAAAATGAGCAAATTTAAACAAGGTCCCACATGATATTTACATAAGGACATTGGAGTCGGATCCACTGCCTGAGACCGGCAGAACTCCCGCCTTCTCCTTCCTTCACACTTCCATCACCCATGTCCCCAGTGCCAAATGCCTTAACCTGCCAGAAAGTGACTTAAGACCATTGAATGTGCATCCTTTCTGGATTTCTACTTACTTAAGAATGTGATGAGTAAAGATCCTTCGAGCTGGTAGATTCAGAAATTCAGTTTGCTTTTATTTTTCTACAAGCCCCTGATTGTGCTGACTGATGAGGTCATTCAAATTATAACATTTGCATTCTTTTAAAATAAAAATCTACTTCTGTAACAGTTTCTAGAAATAATGATGAAGACTTGTATAATACTTCATTTTAAAAGAGGTAGAAAGTTTTTATCATCGTGTTAAGTAGCCTTTTGGAGAAAAACTGAGTTGGATTCATATCCCACCTTGATACCAAGGTAAGTGTTAGAAAAAAGGCTGAAGTAGCAGCAGTGAAAACCTGACCCACTAGAAGAAATAACAGGACACAAAACCCAAGCCCATAAAAGAAAGATAAAAATCACATACACAATAAAATGTGAAAATTGCTAAAGGGCAGTCCACCGTAACTAAAAGACAAAAAGCAGAAAAGATAAATACACAGTTCATATCACAAAGGGCTGATCTCTTAGAAGTAAAGAGCTTTTCTAAATCACTAAGACAAAACAAGAAAGTGAACAAAAGACGTTGAAGAGGTCTCACAGGAAAAGAATTACAAATGGCTTTGAAATATATGAAATTGTCAAATTTACCTAAAATAAAATTACACGTCAGAACTGTAAAGAGATTGGCAAAGATCAAGAAGTTTGTAGCCGTTGCCTTGGGAGTGGTGAGTGGAGGTGACCTCTGCGGGTGTCACCGTATTACCAACCATCGTCACAGATGCCCAGGCCCCCCAGGCCCACATCTCGGAAATGCGGCCTCTGCACATGCGCAGACGCAGACGGGGGCGTTTTCTCCTGCTTTGGGCCCGTCATGAGAAAAGCACAGGAGCAGCATGAAGGGCCCATCAGTGGAAGCGCATTAGCTCATAGAAACAATATGCAGCTCTCAACATGAAACAGGGGTGTGGCTTGTGTTCCAGTGGCGAAGGATAACTGAGTTGTTAAATGGTAAGTACTTGGTGTAGAGCAGGGCTTATTCTGTGCAAGCATGTAGGTACAAAACAAGAGAGAGAAAAAAATATAGGTGTAACCCCTTCGGTACTAAAACGTTTCTGGAATGATAACACAGGATGTTGATCACTGAGACAGGTCATGGGAAGGCAGGGCAAGAAGACTTTACACTTTGTATCCTCTTTTACCTTTTGAATTTTGAATTCTATGCATACATTTAAAAAACACCAATTAAAAAATATATATATCAAGATATAAAGGTTCATGAATGAGCAGATTCATCATACTTCATTTTTACCACCCTATTCATTCATTCAGTCATTATTCACAGAGCCCTTGCCACTCACCAGAAACCACTCCTCATGCTGGGCTCATGGACTGCCGTTTCTAGTTAGAGAAACAGGCAATAGCAAGACGAATGGGTAAATATATTCGTGTGCGTGCGAAGGAATGAGAGAAAGCAGACAGCCATCAGGGAGGGAGGGAGGCCATGGTTGAGGGAGTGGCTCAGCCACAGCTCTTGGAGAAACTGACTACCAGTGGTTTAAATAAAGTTGCAAGCTATCAGGCTCTGCCACTAGGCCACCTTCTGTGGCATCTAGTGTTCAGTAACAGCCTGTTGGTGTTGTTACACATTGGCACCTGGTCTGTTTTGTATGATGTGTACTAGGCAAAACCCCTCCTGCCCGTTCTTGGTGTTTTTGTTTTCCCTTTCAGTTGTCTTTTTTATCTTCACTTCGGTGACCCTGGTGCTTACAACGGGACACAGTTTTCTTGCCTCGTTAACAATACACATAACTCTGAATACCCTTCACTGAAGGAGCACGGGAAGATAGGTGCTCCCTGGGTGTCACGCAGAACCTTCTTTGTGCTGCTCAGCACAGTAGAATCTGGGCACACAGCAGTGTAACCTTATCTAGGCAACACAGTTTGTTAATAATCCCACCATACTCTTATTAATTGTCTTTCATATTAAAATTTAATAAAATAAAATGTAATAATTTCATATTAAAATTCATATTAAACTTAATAGTAAAATTCATAATAAAATTTAATGAGTTAAGTTCCTCTTAGAATGTATGCTTCCAAGTCCGAAGCTTTGACCTCTTTATTTGGTTTATATTTAGTCTTGTCTTAACATATCCAGAAAGATGTCGTGTTGGTAAGTGAAAAGATTTGGTTGAGGGGCGTCTGGGTGGCTCATTTGGTTCAATGTCCAACTCTTGATTTTGGCTCAGGTCATGATCTCAGGCCTGAGATCAAACCCCATGTTGGGTTCTGCACTGGGTAAGGAGTCTGTCTAGGATTCTCTCCCTCTTTCTCTGTACCTCCCCTCCACCTTTCCCTCTTAAAAAAAAGATCTGGTTGACAGATCTTTTCCTGTTAGCTCCTTCTACTTGAGTTCATTTCCATACCAGATGAAAGCCCTATCAACTTCAGGGTAGTTTAAGTTTTGCTGACTTTTTCCAATAAACAGCTTGAATAGAATCTGCAATAGTTAGTTTTTTTTCCCACAGAGACATGATTGTATCTGAGTTTTGTTTTCACTTGTTTTTTGAAAAGTATTATATTAATGCCTGTTTAGAGTAACTATCACGCCCATTAAAGTTATAGGCATATACATACTTGCACAAAGAACCTAATGTTAATTTATTTTCTCAAGAAGTATTTGGTAAATGTCCATTACGCGCCAGGCAGACGGCAGTGAGATATTAGCAAGCAAAACAGATATCCCGGTCCTGTGGTGGTTACATTCTAACAAGAGACAGGCAGGCAGTAATGGTAGTAAGTAAACTGGGTCCTTGTTAGGAGGTGATCTGTGCCTTGGGGACAAGTAGAGCTGACAGGGTAAGGAAGGGTAGCTGTGACAGGAAGGGGTAGTTGTAATTTTAAGGGAATCAGGGAGGGGCCTGCTGAGAAGGGGGCCTTTAGTCAAGCACAGACCTAAAGGAGCCACGGAGACATCTGGGGGAATAGCATCCCGGGCCGGAGGGGTGTTGGGGCAAAGAAATGGAGACAGGGAGCCCGCGTAGGGCCCACATGCTGGACACTGTGGCCAGTCGGGCACTCAGCTGTAGTGAGGTTACCCAGGGTGTCTGCAGAACCCAAGGATTTTGACAGCTGGCTTTACAGGTAGCCTAGTGAATTCTGCCTCAGACTTACTGTATAAACTAAGGTAATTTATCCAGGTTTTGAGCTCTGACCTTTTTCCTTTTGGGATTTTTTTTTTTTTTTTTTTTTTTTTTGCGGCCTCTGCTCTCACGTACACCTGTTAGGCATAGAGATTTTCTAGATAAAGGCCCTTGGAAAAAATCAGGTTCCTTGCCAGAGGAGTAACTGTACTCGTTGCAAGTGCCAGCGGGAACGTTGAAGGAAGCCTCGTTGTTGGAACACACGGGAAGGATGTGGTGGAAAAATCAGTTGAGTGAAGTCACTGCCATAAACGTTAAACCAGTGTTTTAGGCTTATCCTTAACTTGAAGAAAAAGTAAGCAAGTTATGTTTAACTTAATTAAGACATCTTCTCTAAGTACATATACAAACAAAATAACTTTTTTGAGAGGGAGTTCTACAACAGGGAAGGACATTTAAAATACCTCTAGGAAGATCATTTCCTGACATTTCCTCCATTTCTACTGAGAGCTGAAGGAGAAGTGAACATGCGATGTGGACTTGCTCCAAGGATCCGTGGAGGGTCTGCGGGGCGGTGGGGGGGATCCTCTGCCACGCTGGCGGCAGGAAAGCCGGAATCTGTATCTGACCACTGCTGCCCTGAAGGCGCGGGGCATGGACCTGCGGGCAGCAGGGAGTGTCTCTGTAGCCGGTGCATGTAGCAGGTCAGTGGTGGAGGGTCGCAGGGCACCGAGAGAGCCTGAGCGAGCATTCCTGTCTTCCTTCAACAGAGCACTCCTGAGCATCGACCCGATGGAGACGTTGCCGAAGAAAGTCTAGATTTTTGCCTGGTGGTTCTCAAGGTCATAAACCTGCCATTCTTTGTGGCAAGCTGAGGAGAGGTAGCTCGGCTAGGATCAGGGAGATGAATGGGTGGACTTGGAGCTTCAGTGGAAGTTTCTGTCCCCAGCGGTTTTTCCCTGTTGGGAGCTCAGAGCAGTAGGCAAGTTGCCACTGTGTTTCTGGTCTCCGGCAGTTGAGTTCATTTGCCTCACAATACTTTCCTGTTGTTTTTTTTGCAGCAAACCAAAGAGAGAGTGAAGCTATTGATACAGCTGGCTGATGGCTTTTGTGAAAAAGGGCATGCCCATGCAGCAGAGATAAAAAAATGTGTGACTGCAGTGGATAAGAGGTACAGAGATTTCTCTCTGCGGATGGAGAAGTACAGGACCTCTTTGGAGAAAGCCCTGGGGATTTCTTCAGATTCCAACAAATCGGTAAATTACCTTGTGCGCACAGAATAAAGGTGTTCTTGCTCGTGTCCTGCCCAGGTTGAGTTAACTGAAGTTCCTTGGCTCTCTTCCTCCACAGAGCAAAAGTCTGCAGCTAGACATAATCCCCGCCAGTGTCCCTGGGTCGGAGGTGAAGCTTCGTGATGCCGCTCATGAGCTCAATGAAGAGAAACGGAAGTCGGCCCGCAGGAAAGAGTAAGCTGGTCTCTCCGAACCTGCTGGGATTCGCTGAGCAAGTGAAGGGACCGTCACTTGGACAGACACGCTTGTGTGTGTGTCTGAAACCAAATGGCGCTGATCTGTTGTGCTGCTCTGGGTGTGCGGCGTTTTCACAGCATAGAAGCCACTGTCCCTTGTCACCTGCTTCAGAAACCGGGTCTTGTTTTCGTCCCTGTGCCTCCATTTCCTACAGGGTTGACAAACTGTTTCAGGGTCGTTGGTCATGAGTCAGTAGTAGTACCAACGAGAAAAATAACACACATGGGGCTGTTTCAGAATTGCCGACTGGTGCACTGTACTAGACACTCATGAAGACAGGATTGTCCTGAACCAGGGGTTCCCAGCTGGGGGACATTCCGCCCCATGCGGAGACATTTTTGGTTGTCACACCGTGGGGAGGGGCTGTGTGCAACAGCATTCAGTGTTTGGAGACCAGGATGCTGCTGACCTCCTCCACGACACAGGACAGCCCCCCAGCAGAGTGCTGTCTGCCCCCAGGTGTCAGCGGTGCTGAGTGAGAAGCCCTGACCTGCGGGGACCTCAACAGAATGTTTTCCAAAACGGTTTTTCCTTTGAATCGGTGGCTGCATACTATTATCGTCCTATCTGTTTCTTGACTTAATTCCCCAGTACACCTTACTGACTGATGCTTTTAAAACTGCCTTATTATTTTGTAAACCATCAAAGTAGGTAGTTAAAAAAGAACATGTGTCCTGCCTGTAAGCTGAGTTCCTCGCTGTCTTCCTCTGTTGAAGGTTCATCATGGCTGAGCTAATTCAAACTGAAAAGGCTTACGTAAGAGACCTCCGCGAGTGTATGGATGTAAGTAAGTTTTTTTGCTTGTTTATTTAGATTCGGTCTAAGCGAGCTCATTATCCCAACCTGTTGGCGATTCTTAATCACACTTTTTGTTGCTTCTGAGAGTTGAAGTGTGCCTAAGCAGCCTGCATTTCTTGTTTCCGCTCTTCTGTGAGGTTCCAGGCTATGTTTGCTCATCCCAGAGATGACACAGCAGTAACCCTCTCATTCCGTTCATCACATGATGGCCTGGCTGACAGTCTCTTTGTACAGAATTTTACAGCAGCTTCAGAGAAATGTGCCTACTAATTGTGACGGGCAGCTCGTCCTCTCAGTAGTTTGAAAGAATATTTGTCATACGTCGCAGAGTAGGGTAACTCCAAAACTCGCAGCCGGGGATAGAAAGTTTTGAGCTGGAATGTATAGGAACTATTCCCAAGTGCTTATAGCAACTGTGGGGACTTTTTGGGGGAAAGTTTTTCATGTTGTTTTATAAAAAGTTGCAATCCTCAGATGTGTTTTTCAGTGATTCCTGAACTCTGGGTGTGTATTACAGATGTCAGGAGTAGCTGTTTCTTGGACGTGTGCTGTTGGTTTTTGTATAATCTCTCTGCTTCCCTCCTGACCAGACGTACCTGTGGGAAATGACCAGCGGGGTGGAGGAGATCCCGGCTGGCATCGTAAACAGAGAGCTTGTTATCTTCGGGAACATGCAGGAAATCTATGAGTTTCATAATAAGTGAGTGGCTTTATCTTTGGGGAGCTTGTTACTCTTGAAATCTAGATACTGTGCTGCAGTGTCACAACAAGAAATGGAAGCTTCCAACTGAATTAAGCATCCATTTCAGTGAATCTGTTGAAATATGAATGATCCCTGTTGCGTTTTCGTCAGGAGACCACGACACTGTAGAGACACTTTTTATAGAGATTCAGCTTTTTCCATGTGCTTCCCTGCCGTAGAAGTAAGGTCAGGGGAAGTGTGAGCACTGTGTTTGGAGGAAACTGTGTCACCAGCTGCTACATCCATTCCTTCTCAGAATTAAAGGAGAGCTCTCCGGGGCTGCTGGCCGATGTGTGGTCTTGTGGCCTTTACCAAGAAGAAAGGAGGAACTGAGGACAGAACAGATGTGTTGTCTGACCAAAATAAAATGCTCTGTCCCTTGGCCACAGGAGGCACTTGGTTTTATTTTTAAGGGTTTTCTTTTGTTTTGTTTGTTGTTGTTGTTGTTGTTTTAAAAGGCACAAGTTGCTTTGGACAGCATCTCTGCAGCCCAGTAGACTGTGGAAGGATAATGCTGGGGCCGAAGCTGCCAGACTCTTCCTCACGCCCCAGCCACCCCCCGCCACACTCCAGCAAAACACACTGAAATCTCATTGACTTCTTCTGTTTATCTGTATCCCTAAATAACATCCTTAGCTACTGAACAAAGCACTCACCTGGAAGTAGGCTGCTGGGGTAGACTTTGTATTAGGAAGTGCTTAAGGGCTAAACATGTTAGCTGATTGAAAGTCACAATAACCTAGCCTAGTTAAGAGCTACACGTTTTGTTAAATCTTTAAAATCTAGAGGGCGCAGATGTGTCACTGCACTTGGTTGAAATGGTATGCTTGGCCTGCTTGGTCTGATTTCTGGCTTATCTCACTGGTAAAGTGCTTTAAACCCTCTTAATAATACAATACCGTTTTGACTCTGCAGCATATTCCTGAAGGAGCTGGAGAAATATGAGCAGCTACCGGAGGACGTGGGACACTGCTTTGTCACCTGGGTGAGGACCCTCGGCTCCTCATTCTCACAGCTGTGGCTTTGCAGGAAGTTGGAAGGAATATGGTTCATTTTTCTTCTGTCACCATCTTCTGCAGTGTCGGCTTACAGAGAAGGGGGCTTTGCCTCTAAGAATTACATTCTCCAGCCAGATAGTCATGTGGAATGAGCTTTTTATTGGTAGTGCGATGGTTTGAAGTGGAACATTTGAACATCTGGCGTATGGGGCCTGTGAGTGGCCCTGGGGATTAATAGGGACACACGGGTGCCCAGCACACCTGGGGGGCCAGCGAAGGATGCGAGGGGTCATCCAACCGGAGGAGAGGCAGACGGTCGCCTTGTGATGGTGCCCTGCCCTCCATGCAGGATGCCGGGGTTTGCCTCAGCGGCTGTGGGAGCAGGGGGGGTGTGCCCAGCCCTGATTTACTGGGCTGAGGGAGGCTTCTGCAGGTATGGTAGCAGGAGATGGTATTTCTTATTTTTAACAACTTTCAGTATAAAATAGCTTCTCTTTATGTAGAGCTTAAATTTCCTTCATCCCCATAGCTACTTTTCTACATAAAAGTCTATCATATTTTGACTTACTGCCATTTGATTTGAAAGAGATATTCTAATTTTTGTTGTTTACAGGCAGACAAGTTTCAGATGTATGTCACATACTGCAAAAATAAGCCTGATTCTACTCAGCTGATATTAGAGCATGCGGGATCCTACTTCGACGTAAGTAAGAGACTCCTGGTGAAGCGATGAAGTCGTCTGCATTGTGTTTGGTAAACATAAAGATGCCACACTGCTCATAGCTTTCACCTAATGGATGGGAGGGGGTGTTTTCATTTTTATCTGTCGCATTTATGGTGGGATAGTCTTGTGTTTCTAAAAGATCCTTCTGAGATTTCAACAGGTCCGTGTGTATATGAGCTCACTTACTATTTATATATAACCATTCTTAAATGTAGTATCATGTGCAGAAGGTGTAGACTATAAACCTGCTTTACCCTCTGTGAAGGAAAAAGAATCTTTGAACCTTGGAATCTTTTTTATTCATTTATTTTTCCCATTTTTATCATGTGATTGATTTCCAAAAGTGGCTTATCAGTAAAATTTTTACAACTAGCATTGTAACAACTAAGATCATTGGGAGGCTCTTTAAGTATATTCTCATTGGTGTAAGCATACATGTAGGTCCTCTTTTTTTGAAAGATATTGCAGGGAGGTGATTTTGTACAAAGGTGGTTGGAGCCTTATGGAAGTAATATAAAGAAAGCTTCTTGGGTCTCCGGAATATAGTCAAGTGTGCTGAATACATCGTGATTAAAAGAGTACTTTTCAGTATCACGTGTCATTTGGTATAAAGGCTGCGAGAATTTTAGATTTTTTTTCTGTTCTTACGTGTGTGCGTGGCCATGCGTGATGTTCTTTTCTGGACATCTGGGAAATTAGGGTACATTTTAGCTTCTTTCTTTGCTGTGGAGCCCTGGAGATGGCCCTATTTTAGTTGTCGTTCTTGTGACCAATAAGCCCTCATGAGTGCCTTTGTAAATACCAGGTCAGCTCTCCCAGCCCTGTGCTGCCCTTTCTTGTCAGGTTTTCACACCTTCCTCACTCTTTACCATCAGATGAAACTCAACATCAAGGCCATATGCAGAGTTAGAATTCTGTATGGTCTAAGCACAGAGAGCATGTGGCATATGGAATCGAATAAAAAAAAAAACAAAAACCCTTTGCCCTAAAACACCTTTAAGGATAAAGGAAATTCTGCTTATCTAACTGAGGGATCTCACAGATGTCTCGCCGTCAGTTCCCACCATACGGGATATTGCCCATCTTTCTGGGGCTCAGCAAGCGCCGCGGGTGTCTGTGTTTGAGATTTCCCACTGACCTGTGAGCGAGGCCATCCTCTTAACCCCCAGTTCTTTGCCCCTGCCATCCAAAATAAAATTGTAGAAGCACAAAAGTTTTTTTTAACAGCTTTTTAGAAAAAGGGAGCTTTCTTCTATCAGCAGGATTAAATCTTTGATGGGGTTTTAGAAAAATACTCTGATCTCATAGCCATTTTTGTCTTCATTTTCTCTAATCATTTTATTTTCTTATGATAAGTAAACTCTTTGATCCCCATCTCTGTTTCCCCCATCCCTCCACTCACCTCTCCTCTAGTAACCATCAGTGGGTTTGCTATAGTTCACAGTCTCTTCCTTGGTTTGTGTGTGTGTTTCTCTCTCTCTCTCTCTTTTTTTACTTTGTTCGTCTGTTTTGTTGCTTAAATTCCACAGCTGAGTGAAATCATGTGGTATTTGTCTCTCTGACTGACTTATTTCACTTCGCCGAATACTCTCTAGCCCATCCATGTCATTGCATATGGCAAGATCTCATTCTTTTGATGGCTGCGTAATAGTCCATTGTGTAGATGAACCACATCTTCTTCATGCATCCATCAGTCAGTGGACACTTGTGCTGCTTCCATAGTTTGGCTGTTATGGATAATGCTGCTATAAATGTAGGGGTGCATGTTTCCCTTCGAATTAGTGTCTTTGTATTTTTTGGGTCAACACCCAAGTAGTGTGATTCCTGGATTGTAGGGTAGGGTAGTTCTATTTTTAACTTTTTGAAGAACCTCCATACTGTTTTCCAGAGTGACTGTACCAGTTTTTATTCCCAGGAACAGTGCTAGAAGGTTCCTTTTTCTCCACATCCTCTCCAACACCTGTTATTTCTTATACTTTTTATTTTATCCATTCTGACAGGTGTGAAATGATATCTTATATAGTTTTGATATGCATTTCTCTGATGATGAGTGATGTTGTGCGTCTTCTCTTATGTCTGTTGGCCATCTGGATGTCTTTGGAGAAATGTCTGTTCATATCCTCTGCCCATTTTAATTGGAGAGAGAGTGTGTGTGTCTGTGTGTGTTGAGTTGTATGAATTCTTTCTGTATTTTTGGTTACTAATCCTGGATTAGTAGGTATGTCATCTGCAAATGCCTTCCCCCATTCAGAAGATGTCTTTTAGTTTTGTTGCTTGTTTTCTTCACTGTGCAGAAGCTCTTTATTTTGATGTTGTCTCAGTAGTTTATTTTTACATTTATTTTCTTGCCTCAGGAGGCATATCTAGAAAAATATTGCTGTGGCCAGTGTCCTGGAAATTGCTGCCTATGCTCTCTTCAGGGATTTTTATAATTTCACATTTGTGCCTTTATTCCATTTTGTGTTTACTTTTGTGTATGGTTTAAGAAAGGGGTACAGTTTCATTCTTCTGCACGCTGCTGTCCAACTTTCCCAACACCATTTGTTGAAGAGACTATCTTTTTCCCATTGGATATTCGTTTCTCTCTTGTCATTTTTGAGCAGTATGATCCTATGATAAGGTATTAAAAATGTCAACAAAAATAGTGAGATTGGTGTTTAGAAATATCAGAGATGCATTTCTGAATATTATTAAAATGGTATTCAAAACACATTGCAATATGTCTCAGATGTTTTGTGGGGTGTGCATGAAACGGAATACTTCTCAGCTGTATGAAGGGATAAACTCCTGATACATAAATGGCAAAGATTCATCTCCAAAACGTGGGCTGAGAGAAGCTAGACATAGAAGAGTACATTCTGTATGATTCCTTTTATATGAAATTCTAGAATATGCAGAACTGATTTGGTGATAGAAATCAGAACAGGGGTTGCCTCTTGGTGGTGGTGGGGTTGTGGGTGGGGGAATTGGTTAGAAAGGGGTACGAAGAACTTCCTGTGATGTTGGAAATACTCTGTACATACTTGATTGCAAGTATGTTGACATTTGTCAGAACTCGGTGACCCGTATATGGGATTTGTACATTATACTGTATATGAAAAGATATCTTTTAGATGTGACATCATGAATACACGTATCATAATCATAAATCGTAAATCCCACATTTTGAACATTTGTCACTGAAGAGAAACTTAAGGCTCTACTTGTGATTTGAAGGCAGAGGAAGAATTCCCAAGTTTTTACTCCAATCTGCCTGGTGAGTGAGTGACCCGTGGTTCGGTGATTCTGGCAGCTGGCACGCCGTAGGGAGAGTGGCCGCGTGAATCCCCGAGCGATGCTCGGTTCCTGAGGAGCTTAGTCGAGATGACCCACAGACCAAGAATATTGAGAATACAAAGAGGTGGTGGTTTTTAAATCACATTTGAAGCGCAGACTATTAGTAGATAACCCTTTTTTATTTTTTTAAAGATTTTATTTATTTATTTATTTGACAGAGAGAGAGAGAGAGAGATCACAAGCAGGCAGAGAGGCAGGCAGAGAGAGAGGGGGAAGCAGGCTCCCTGCTGAGCAGAGAGCCCGATGTGGGGCTCGATCCCAGGACCCTGAGATCATGACCTGAGCCGAAGGCAGAGGCTTAACCCACTGAGCCACCCAGGTGCCCCATAACCCTTTTTTAAAAAAGATTTTATTTATTCCAAAGAGAGTGTGAGTGAAAGAGTGAGAGGGAAAGGGAGAGAGAGAGAGAGAGAGAGAGAGAGAAGCATGAGCAGAGGGGAGGGGCAGAGGGAGAAGCTGACTCCGCTAGGATCGGGGAGCCTGATGTGGGGCTCAACCGTGGGATCATGACCCGAGCCGAGGCAGATGCTGCACCCACTGATCCACCCAGGCACGCCACTCCTTTTATCCTTTTTTTTTTTTTTTTTTTTAATTTTCTGAGAAGAGTGTTAAGAGCCAAGATAGCACCAGTACAGTGGGTTGGTGTGAAAGTCTGGGCTAGGAGGTGGATTGTGAGCGTGGATGGAAGAATGGCTGAGTGGTGTGTGAGTGTGTTTGTGAGGAAGGAGGAGTCCCTGTGCAGGAGAGTCAGGCTTGGGGGAAGGGATGTGGTCTGTGGCTCCAGGGCACGGAGGCCCAAGTTGCCAGAGCTGCTGTGGGAGACGGGGCGTGTCTGGTCTGTGGCTCAGCGTTCCGTGGCTGACGCACCAGGGCTAGCCTGGGGCAGGGGAGGGTGGGCGGAGGTTGCCGGGCCACCGGGGCCAGTGTGGACCCCACGGCTCCATGGCCGGGCGTCATGGGCTTGCCTGTTTGACGTCTGCACGTGAAAGCCAGGAATCCAGACAACACCGCTATCTTCTTGTTCAAAGTGATTAACTTATTCTTATGTTCAGCATATTGAAAGAATAAATAGTGATCTCTACTTTTATTTCTTAGGCTGAGAGTGATATGTATGTACTCATTTTGAAGGTAAAAAATGTAGTTTAAGTTCATGCTACCCAATTTACCCAGTAATGTTCGTCCGTATTTACCCATTTATTTTTTTTCTTAATTCAGGAAATACAGCAGCGGCACGGATTAGCCAATTCCATCTCTTCGTACCTTATTAAGCCAGTTCAGCGAATAACAAAGTATCAACTTCTTTTAAAAGTATGTATGAAGCATTTTCTACCTGCAAAATTTTGTCAACTGTGCGTTATTATTTTGACATTTTTCTCTCTACGTCAAGTACCCTGAATTTTTGAAATAAGACCGAGCCAATTAATTTTCTTTAATGTATTGTCATTTGTTACCCTGATCAGTTTCTCAGTGCAGCAGGTAAATAAGAGGCTATTCCTTGATTAGGCGCCTGCACTTTGATGACTGACCCTGGTCCCTAACATACACTGAGAAAAGAGATTGTGAAGTCTAGATCACTTGGTACCTGCGTCCCAGGCTGGCTCGCTGACCATGGGCTGCGCGCTGTGCTCTGTGCTCTGCATGTGTTAAGTTCACCTGGTCTGCAGGTCTGGAAGTGAGCCTGTGAGGGGAAGGGCTGTCCCGCCATCATCACTGGGTCACTGGCATCTGGGCTCTGTTCTAAACCCATGTGGAGCCGCGGGTCAAGTAGCTCACCCTCGGCTAGTCCTCCCTGTGATGTCTAGTCACATATCACACACTGATTTGTGGAGCATGTTGTTCACAAGTCACACTGATCTCCACTTTCTCTTGGTTATGAATGGTGAGCGAAAGTCATCCTGTAACTCGGTGTGCTGGCGGGTGTTAACTAGAATTATTGTGATCATTTTGCAATATATACAAATAGCAAATCCTTATGTCATACTGTTGAAACTAACATAATGGTGTGTGTCAATTATACCTCAAAAGAGAAACCCATTTCTAATAATCTTAAGGATTTAACAGTAGAATGGGAGAGGAAACTTGGAATTTGTGATCGTCGTCACAGGATGCGTCGTATAAATCGATGTACATTTTCTTGACTACGAGAATAAGAATCTACCAGCTCTACCTAATGTGTGTGCTGTTTACGTGGCCGGAGGATGTTATCCAGCGTGAGAATGAGCCACCTGCACTCCTCTTGGGACCCCTGTTTTGTGAATCTGACTCTGTCCCTGGTGCCGCCCTCGCGCAGCAGCAGGAGGTGATGTTGTAATTTTCCCGGATGGGAAAAGAAGTTCAGAGATGGAGTGATGAAGTCCTGAAACACTTTCTCTTTCTGTTAATGAGAAAACTCTAGAAACAGAAGTGGCCATATTCTTTTGTTAAAGCTATACCATCATGAGACATTTCTGTTGGGAAAGCTCTCCTGCACTTTTGTATCAAAATCCTATTAAGTGCTTTTATGGCCCTCACTGCAGCAATAGGAGCTTGCCATGAACGTGAAGTAGAAGTCAGGAGGTTAAGCTGTTTATATTCACATTAGCCCTCTGCTTTTTACTGCTGCAAAGGCCGTGTACCTCTTGGTGTCCTCAGGATTTAAGAATTTTGTCTTTAGCATGTGTTCCACTAAAAATCTCTTTTCCAGTGACCTCACATCTAGTTAATCACCATTAAAGTGGGACTTTAATTTATGAACCTCACATTATTCTGCCCAGGGGTTCTTCAGCAGAATAGTAATAAGCTCTGTTGAGCTCCCCAACGAGGAGCGTTTTCTGCCAGTGAGGTTAATTTCTGTACATAGCATTCTTAAGCACTTTTTTTCTTGCCAAGCTCCTTAGAATAATAGGTAAAAACCATCTGGTCACGAGTGAAAGTGCTTGTCTGGTGCCAAATTGCTCTAAAACTATCGAGTATGAGACCAGAGCTTCCGGCAGTGCCCTGTCCCTCTTGGGGATTGCTAGGACCCAGAGAGTGCTGGTTACTATTACTGACTATCACCATTCATACGCTGGTAAGAAAATATCCTGGAGCCTGCCAGACAATGACATGCAGTTATTGTCCTTGTCACCCTTCCTTTAATAGCAGATGTTCCTCCAAGTGCATCTGAAATGGAATCACACTCAGGGAGGTGTGATCGGATCACTTGCGCTTTGCTAACCATCCTGTGCACAAGGGCACACACAGTATGTGACTGTGGATACCGGCGCAGCGTTGCCGCTCCCGCTCGTGACCTGGGAGATCTGGGCTGGGGGCGGTGTTAACAGCACGGAAGCGTTCACGATCACACGGGGATGCTCGGTGCACTCTGCCATGACCTTCAGATAAAACCAGTAGCTGATTATGCTTTGCTGTGATAATTATTTTTTTATTATTGTTTTTGAGGCTTGGTAGTTAATGTGTGCACTGATTTTGTCTTAAACTGTGACTGCATCTGGTTTCCTCTGATCTGAAGAAGCATCCTGAGTTGAGCCGGACAGATCCTTCCATCCATAGAGGCAGTGATTCATTTTCTGTGAGAATATGTGCCCAGCCGACCGCGGTCTGTTGTTCTCTTGAAACTCATGGATTCTTCATGGTCTTTTTTTCTGCAAAGATCTTGTTGGCAAAGCTTTTGGCCTTTGGATGGTTCATGGTATCGGTCTCTTACAGGAGCTACTCACTTGCTGTGAGGAAGGAAAGGGGGAGATAAAAGATGGCCTCGAGGTGATGCTCAGTGTGCCAAAGCGAGCCAACGACGCCATGCACCTCAGCATGCTGGAAGGTACGAGGCTCTGCATGTTCCTGGACAAGCATCTGCACACGTCCTGCTGACACTGTGTATGAGGGCCTTTCCCATGCCCTGAAACCCTTGGCTTTGTGCCTCTGTATTCTGTTAGGAGTTAAGAGTTTAGATGTGAATATCCTTTTTTTTTTTTTTTGAAGATTTTTTTGTTTGAGAGAGAGAGCACGCGAGTGTGCAGGCACAAGGCAGGGGAGGGGTAAAGAGCAGGGGAGGAGAGAGAATCCTCCAGCCGATTCCCTGCCAAATATGGAGCCCCATGTAGGGCTCAGTCTTACAGCCCTGAGATCATGACCTGAGCTGAAATCAAGAGTCAGATGCTTAACCGACTGCACCACCCAGGAGCCCCAAGGACCTTCTGTTTTAAAAGATCTGGTTTCATTGCTTCCCCTTAGTTTCACGAAGTGCTTCAGCCTCATTAAGAGCACGCCCTTGTCCATCATCTGGAGAACAGGCTGTCCACTCTCCCGGACCCCGGTAGCACCGTGTGTCACTTGTTTTAGGCAATCAGGTGTCTACAGTAGATGGATGGATGGAAGGACGGCAAGATCAGCCCCCTGTGATTATAAAATCCTTTAAAAAGCTTGCTGTTTCCCTGTATCTGTATCCACTGTATCACTTGCAAGAACCTCGAACATGGCGGCATGTGACACGGCACTGGGTGATGTGGTGAAGAGTGAGGCAGAGAAACGAAATGAAATACCTTGCAAGTGAACTTTCCATGGATGCTTGTGTTTAAAAGGTTCTTTCTGTGTTATAGAGCTTAACTCCTATTATCAGGTACACAATTATGTACAAAAAGTAATCCTTCCCCAAATGCTTTTTCTAGCCTGTGTCTTACCAGTAGTATTGAGCAGTGTAACCGGTTGGGGCAGAGGTGCTGCTTTTTTGCAGTAGAGACGCAGAAGTCAGAGGCCAGGTGGGGTAGCTTTTCCTGTCTCTGATGTGAGACCCTGAGCTGGTACGGCAGCCCTTCTTGGCATCATCAAGGACTCAGGTTCTGTTCTCCATACTTTCTCTCCACTGCTTAAATGTTGTTTGCTTGGGAAGGTTTAGGGTATGTCAAGACCATGGAAATGTTCCATCCAGCAGAAAGAAAGTGGGAAAGAGGGCAGGGAAGGAGCAGCCGCTAGAAGGGCGGAAACGAGTTGTACGCAAGACTGCCCCACGCAGCCTGAGCTTGGCCACGTGCTGTCCCAGCACCACGGGGGCAGAAATGCAGGGCCTGTCTGAGCAACCACAGAGGACACTAGTTCTCCCTCGACCACTTACCGTGGTCGAGGGAGAACTAGCAGCCCCTGCCCCAGATATCCAGGCACTTCCTGCAGCCTGGTCGCTGGAAGTCCATGCAGTGGGCCACTTCCGGGAAGAGTTGAGCAGAGCGAAAGCCACTCCATGGCCCGAGTGTGACTGATTCACAGGAAGAATTTTGCAAAGATGGGAGAACTCACCAAGGAAGGCCAGCCCAGAGCCCTGTGGAAAGGCTGGGACTGCAGTGGAATGTCCAGGAGGGTGTTCTGGGCTAAAGAGGCAGAGGATCAGGTCGCAGCCTGGGAGTAGGCAGTGGCCCGGGGGAAGGTCTGTGGACCATTCTGGGCCAGGGGAGGAGGAGGTCTGTGTGATGCGATGCCATGAGTGAAGGCCGAGGAGAAGCAGGGAGTTCATTCAAATCTCAGATTGTGTTAATGCCACCCGCAGCAGATGGAGTTGAAGGAATAAAGCCATGAGGAAGCACTGGCTTTTTTTTTTTTTTTTTTCCTTCCTTTTTGAGCAAGGGAAGATATACGCAAAGTCATGTTTAAGGAAGAATTATCCTTCGTCAGGTGGGATCAGTGCGGAGAAACTGGAATGGGGGCCCAGAAAGGGAACTCTAATCTGTGATGTAATTGTTGGGCATTGAACAAATGTTTAAATCGTCACAATGCTGTCCTGTGCATCATTTTTTATTTTCTTTCAAATTGATTGTGCCTCCTTGTCTTTGTGTTGTAGGGTTTGATGAAAATATTGAGTCTCAGGGAGAACTCATCCTGCAGGAATCCTTCCAAGTGTGGGACCCAAAAACCTTAATTCGAAAGGGTCGAGAACGGCATCTCTTCCTTTTTGAAATGTCCTTAGTATTTAGTAAAGAAGTGAAAGATTCCAGTGGCAGAAGCAAGTACCTTTATAAAAGCAAATTGTTTGTAAGTATCAGCATTCAGAATTGTTAATTTAAAGGTAACACACTTGCAAATCTTCTTGTAGGCAGAAAAAAAAAAGCACCATTGCTTTCAATTTAACCCCCCAAACTGCCCTAAAATGTGAAACTTTAGAATTGTTAGGTTTTTATCTTCCACAGTGAACATCTCTTGACGATCTGGAGTCCACTAGAGGGAGCTCATGGGTTTTAGCTTCGCTAGACTGAGAAAACCTGCTTTTTCTAAATTCCATAGACTCTGAGGATGAGAAAACACTTAAGTGAATTCAGATTTACCTCTTATGTGCCCAAACCAGCTTTCCAAATAAATGATCATATGAGTCTACGATTAAGTTCTCATATCATTCTAATTAATTTTCCTTTCACCAATGTTGGAAGATACGTTAAGTAACCTTCCTGGGTGGCTGGCTGTAGCTCTTAATAATCTGGGGTGAATTTTTCTTTCAATAAAGGTAAATGTGTGGAAAATAAACAAGTAAATTTAGGGTTCCTTACACTAACAAAATATGGTTATTTAGAGAAAACATACATATGCAAAAATAGTTCTAAAGGTCCACTATCCCATCTGTGCAGAGAGCACTCCCTACTCTTGAGTGCTGGGTGCATACTGTGTTGCATTTGAATTCTTTTTTAACTTGTGAGTGTACTTTCTGCCAAAAGAATATAGCTGATGCCTTTTTTCTGACAAATAACAAGTCTCTGGGTAAAACCACATGCTGACTCTCCCGAGAAGCCTCAAGCAGGTGTCCTCCTCAGGGTCCACTGTGTTTCTGTGTTCCCCTCGTGGGAATACCTCGGGCTGCATCACAGAACCGCTGGGCAGGGTCAGGCAGGGGGAGGATTGGGCAAAACTAATGAAAAATCACCGCCTGAGAAAGAATAGGAAATGTATAGAATTTGGTTTCTTCTTTACACAAGATATGACATCACTTATAAATACTGGTAGATATTTGGAATTTGGACAACATCTACATTATGTATTTTTATGGTATCCGTATATTAATCAAGTTCCCAAAGTAATAAAATACTACCAATGTAGAAATCATCTTTAATAATAATTTGGAATTTTCAAGTTTAAACTAATGGTTTTCATACCATTTTCTTTGGCTTATATCCTGTCTGAGATTGTCTTTTGGCTCACAGCCCACCTTACATCATTTTAGATCATATTGTAACTGGAAAGAAAAAATGCAGCATTGCTGGCTAGTAATTTCACTAGCTGGCTTTAATCTATCCTCAGAGACCAAGCTAGTCTGTTTTAGAAGCTGATACATCTTCATTTAATTTATCTTCAAAAGTTAAGGTTCCCTCAGAGGCCACCATTATGAATCACTTCCTTTGCTGGAGGGGGGAAACACATGAGGGTGAACTTGACTGTGGGGGAGGGACTGAAGATGTTGACCTTCACCTCTGCTCTTCCATGTGCTCCCATCACAACTGCACATGTCGCAGAGACAAATTTTGTCTCTTAGCCCTTAAAATTATTGGCGAAATACTAAAAGTTCATGCTCTTGATGAACAAATCGGGAAATAACTGTGAAGACATTATGTGCCTTCTGTGAACTACTCCACTCGTGCCGAAAATGCATGGCGGCAGCTCCTTTGCAACTCAGACTGATCTGGTTTGTTGTTTATGAGTTGAAAATGGTCAGCTCTTTGATTTTCCAGTAAGAGGATTTTTAGATATTTTGGTTTCCTTCCTCTGCATTTGCTGGTTGACCCTCATCAGGATCTCCAGTAGATGCGCACAGGGGAAGTAGAAGGGATGCAACCAATCATGGCGGCCTGAGAACAAAATTTTCTCATTTTTAACTGCAGTAAGATTGGAGGCTTGCCTGTCAGTGTAAACAAACTGTGTTGTTATAACCTGGCGTGACCACAAGCCACCAAAAACCGTTTTCTTGGTCTTTGTTCTATATCCTGCTGGAATCTTACAGTCATCTAATTACGTAATTACCTTTTCATCCAGACCTCAGAGTTGGGTGTCACGGAACACGTTGAAGGAGATCCTTGCAAATTTGCACTGTGGGTGGGAAGGACGCCAACCTCGGATAATAAAATTGTCCTTAAGGTATGTTCATTTGAAGCTTGGGAATGTGCTGTGGGACAAGTTTATTGGTGGTTTTTTTTTTTTTCCTGTTGAAATATATTGGTGTTCATATGCTTTTATTTGCTCTTTTTGTGTTCTCTCGAGATTGGTGATTATCACAAAGAGAATAATAGAATAAATTCAGTTTGGTACTCTAGTGATAAAATGCCTTGAGGTAAACTTTTGCTCTTCTATGATAAAGGTCAGATGGAGAGAAATCTCTTTAAACTTCTCCCATTCTTTCTGTCTGAAAAAGAACTAGTCAATTCCATCAGAGGTGCAGGAAGTTGAGGTACGGGAGGGAGGACATGTGGCTCAACAGCTCTCACTGCACACTTTGTCCAATTTCCAAAGGCAAATAAATAGGCACCTGATGAGCTTGTGAAGGCCTTGGGCCGTTCAAGGGCTGAATGTGCCAAGAGTCTTCATGGGGTCCCAGGCTCTTTGGCTTTCTGGTTAAGGGGCAGAGAAAAAAGAGAGATAATCATCAGTTACAAGGGTTGATAATATTATGATTCAAATGAGTGTTCAAAAACACTAAGGTTGCTTTTGGGGAGTATATATTGGGATGGGGGAGGAATATATGTTTGAATATTTGACTTGAACTCTGCCTCCCTTATACCAGCTTCTCCAAGGAACGACACAGGGCACTCGGGTGTCTTGTGTACTCCCTCCTGTGTTTGAGAAAATACAAATGGAACTGTCTTTTTTAGCTGTCTGGGAAGGCCATAAGTGATTTTGGGATGTTATGTGGAAGATGTTGCTGAAGATTTGTACAATATTGGGAGATGAGCCAAATGCTTAATGGGACTCTGGTGTATGAACTTCCATGCCAGGGACTCTGGTGTATGAACTTGCATGCCAGGAATTCTGTCTCATACATTCCTTTTAATCTCTCACCAGTATTTCCAGCAACTATGAATTTCTCATCGGTACCTTGCTCTTAAAGAATTTGTACTTTAATGGAAGCCATTGTGTTACTAAGATCTTTATTCCCATGGAAATGATGGATTGCTTTGCAATGAATATGTGATTACCAACCCAGTGTGTTCTTGTTAGTATTGGCATAAAGCCCTATAAAATAGAAATTGCACTGATAGCTAAACATTAGATAACGGAACTTTCCTAAGCCATAAAATTTTAAAGTATACTCAAAACCATAAAACTTCCAACTCATAGTAAGTATTTATCCAGATTAGCTACAGTGACAGATGTCAAAGGGTGAATCTGAGAAATAGTGCCAGATATTTTAGCCAGATTTGAACTACTTTCATTTGGGATGTAATAAAATACTCATGATGCAGTTGAAGGATAAGGCTCCCTACAGGCTTTATCAGATGAAAGCTTTCTAGGGGAATTTCGAGTAATATTTCTCTGCCTTCCAAGGAGAGGCTAAAGGAAATGATGTCCTCATTCATTTTAGAGATTACTTTGTGGTGGTGGAGCTAGAGATGGAGAAGGTGGGGGTGGAGGTGGAAATGCCAGCTAAGATGGAGATGATGGTGGAGGCAGGGACTGAGGTGGTGGAAGTGATGGTAGAGGTGGTTGAGATGGAGATGGTGGTGGGGGGGTTGGTTGGGATGGAAGTGGTGGTGGTGGAGATGATGGAGGAGGTGGTTGAGATGGAGGTGATGGTGGTGGAGGTAGTGGTGGATGTGGTGGAGATGTAGGTGGTGGAGATGATGGAGGAGATGGTTGGGGGGGAGGTGTTTGGGATCGAAGTGGTGGTGGTGGAGATGATGGAGATGATGGAGGTGATGGTGGTGGAGGTGGTGTTGGAGATGGAGATGATGGTGGAGGTGATGGTGGTGGAGGTAGTGGTGGAAGTGGTGGAGATGTAGGTGGTGGAGATGATGGAGGAGGTGGTTGAGACGGAGATGGTGGAGGGGGGTGTTTGGGATCGATGTGATGGTAGTAGAAATGGAGATGGTTGTGGTGGAAATGATGGGGGAGGTGGTTGAGATGGAGATGTGGTGGAAGTGATGGTGCTGGAGGTGGTGGTGAAGTGGTGGAGATGAGGTGGTGGTGTTGGAGATGATAGTGGAGGTGATGGTGGCAGGGGAGACAGTGGTGCTGGTAGAGCTGATGATGGTGGTGGAGGAGGTACTGATAGAAATGACAATGATACTGATGGCCTAGTAGTTAGAAAACAAAGCTGTGGTCTTTTTTATGTTGTCCTCTGGAAGGGAGAACCTGATTTCCAAATCCTTCCATAAACGGATGGAGACTACTAAGAGTCCAAAACAAACTATTCCCATCTCTTAGACAAGTGGGACCTTTTATTTAGTATTTAGCTGGCTTACCTTTCTCTTGTTTTTCTGAAAAATTGGCACGTGTTTTCTTTGTTAAATTTCTTTAAGGTCAGGAAAATTCCTCTCAGTAAATGTAATGATCACTTCATCCTATTAAATCATGAGAATTTCATTTCTTTGTAAACCATATTTAACAGTTCCCCTCAGTTGTCTCTAAACCCTGCCAAATGTTCTTTCTCAGATTCTTCTCTCAGTTTAACCTGAACATTTGTATCAGGCATTTCATTGCCAGTAGATCTGCAGTTTTCAGAGTTTTGCACCGAGAGACACCTCTGTTCCATGCACAGACTCCTCTAGTCCCTGATCCTCCTGCCTCTGGCCCCAGTAGAACTTGGGATACTGCTTCCCAGTCTCAGGTCTGGGAATGGAGGCCACAGGCCGCTTTTATCCTTTATGTAGTTTCCTGTTCCTAAGTCTAAGTGACTTTAAAGACACAGCCTCCAGTTTAAATTTTTTACATAGGGGAAAGATAGTCCCAACTCTAATTTCCTTTCCCAACATGGGCCTTGACTTTTCTGTTTTTGAAGACAAGGTGCGCCATGAGAAATGCTCCCTCTCGGTCAGGATCTCAGCTGTAATCCCTCTGACGACTGTTTCAGGGAATTGTGCTTATGTAATAGGAGGTTGATGTTTTCCACAAGGAAATTAAAAACTGTTACTAAGCCCCAGAACATGCAAAAAGAAGGGAAAAGAAAAAAAAAAGAAAGAAAGAAAGAAACCTTCTTTGAGGCCAAGAGAAAGGAAAAAAATCTGGAAGGCGTACTGCCCTAGGTGTTCATTCTGCAAATGCTTATTGAATATTGACTGTGTATCATTTTCAGAAAATGGTTCTCAAAAGTTGTAATGGTGTTGCCATCTGTGACTGGCAGTAGGTTAACTGGTTTCCGCTACTTGCGTGACCAGGGGTAGGTGAAGGCAGAGCTTGGGACGCCGGGCTCTGACGTCCACATGGATGCCATCTGTCCAGCCTGAGCATTCCGGCTGCTTCCCATGCCAGCTGTGTGACCGTGGCCCCATTTCTGACCCGAGGATAAGGGGGGGCCCTACTCCACAGAGTGCTGGGGCAGCAAGCATGGGTGCAGATGGGGCTGGTCTGGAAAGAGAGTGCAGGGGACAAGGCAGAGGGACGTGGGCACCAACGCGGGTGGCTGGGAACCCGTGACTGCTGGTCTCTGCCTAAATGCTTCAGGGACACTTGGGCTTGGGATCGGCTGCGCTTTCATATTTACCCAGAGCTGCTTACAAGGTTTGCAGGCTGGGGAATGATTGATTATTAAAATATTCAGAGATCTGGAGTAACATATGTGCTGTAAGATAAAAATGGTTTTGACTGAAAAATACTCAAAATGGCAAAGTAAACATGGGATGTGGTTGCTGTTCTGCTGGGAAGTTATTTTGAAAATGGGAAACAAGGAATGTGGGTGACCTGAGCGTGGTTAGTGTGGGTTCTGGAAAGGACCGCTTCCGTATCCTGACTGACTCTCACACCTCGTTCAGGCTTCCAGTATAGAAAACAAGCAGGACTGGATAAAGCACATTCGCGAAGTAATACAGGAAAGGACCATTCACCTGAAAGGAGCCCTGAAGGAGCCCATTCACATCCCCAAGACGGCGCCGGCCGCGAGGCAGAAGGGGAGGAGGTTAGTGCTGGGGACTCAGGGTAGGTGTGTTTAGTTGGTAGGGAGGGAACAAGGCAGTGTAAACTTACTGTTTTTCAAAGATCATCTTTCTTAAATATTTTGAGGAATTTTTTAAAATTTGGTTTATGTGTAACCTCATTCTTAGCAATGAAGTTGCTTTGTCAAGACAAGAACCTCCTTCAGCTTAAAGTAAAGGAAGGGCTCTGTGCACATCCCTTTCTGTTGCCCTTTCCACAGCACGTGTGAGTCTGGATGCGTATCTAGGTCATGTGTGGGACTGGGACAAGCTGCATCTTATCCTAGGTGTTCATGTTTCTCATTTCTGTGATGGAAATTACACAACTGTGTCTTACCACTGTGCACGTTACACGAAAGACACATGTTGGACACACAGCCCGGCGCGCAGCCAAGGTGGCCTCCTGTCACCATTCACGCAATGCTGGTGCAGTCACACAGATGGCTCTGTGCCTCTTTGAACAAAGCTGTCTCTCCAGTGACTGATAGCTGCCCTCCACCAGTCTTGAGAAATCCAGCAGTGTCAGGAATGAAAACTTTGTTTGCTTCTTCAGGGATGGAGAGGATCTGGATAGCCAGGGCGATGGGAGCAGCCAGCCGGACACAATTTCCATCGCCTCACGGACGTCTCAGAACACGCTGGACAGTGATAAGGTAAGCTGCAACCAGCACTTTCTTTGGCGGGTGGGTGATGTATTCTTGGATCTGCTAGGAAGCAGCCTGTTTCTATCTATAAATGACAGTTTGGCACCAACAATTCCAAACAGTCACTATGTGCTAAGTGGTGCTGGGAGTAGAAGCAGAGACAAGAAGTTGGGGGTGTTGGGGGTAAAGTCTGAGGATTCAGGAAAAATCGCCTGACCTTCCCAGTGTCGTTACATGGTTTTCTGTCAGGGTGTTCTAGGGCAGGTGTTTAAGGTGTAACTTTACAGAAGCAGAAGAACTAGTTATTTTAAGTTAAATGCTGCACAGAGCCCGGATGAGAAGCTGCTGTGAGTCAGTAGGGGCACCGGCATGCTCAGGTGGGCCCTGCGGCTCCTCCTGGGAACACAGGTGCAGCAGGTGCAGGCAAGGCACCCCGGAAGGAGCCCGTGCCGGTGCCGACGGCTGGGCAGCCAATCCGGTCGGCAAAATGTCCATGTAGCTCTCCCTTCTCCAGAAGGGGTGTAGAGCATCTCACGATCTGTCCCGATTGAATCCCAAAACCAACAAAATAAATGAGCAGGAGAATTCGGAATCCAGGCTGACGTGAGGCACAGCTAATCAGGGCCCCCCATAAAAGCCAGTTGGGGGACATTCACGTCAGCTAAATAAGTCTTCTGTTCCCACTGAGATGAGCACATGTTCTGTTTCTAAACTGCTAGACCAAATTCTCCAAAAAGGTTATTTGATAGTGAATAATGATTTTATTGAGTGTGCCACCGGTTCAGAATTCCTGTGTTTCCCACTATGTGATGCAGGCTGGTCTTTCTGCATTCGTCCTGACGAGGGGGCGTGGGGGACATACGGGAGTCTGTTCTTGGCCTGGTGTTTGCACAGCGCATTTGTAGCAGGAAGTGTCCTGACTTCACCGTCCTTTGGAAGCGACTGCTGACTTCCGGTGAGGGTCGTCTTGGACTATTTCCAATGGCAGGTCCCAGAGGCCCAGATGGGGGCGCTTTCCTCACCCAGTTTTGCAGAGGATTCCCGGTGTGTAATGCAGGGTCCAGAAGAGAAGGAAGTGGACTTAAAAGTATTGCTTTCCTACAGTGATTTCTCTCTTAAGATCCTTCTGGTTTGAGTCATTTGTTTTTTCTATTCAGTTTTTTGAGTTCATCAGACTATAAGTCCTAGAAAGTAGAATGGTTGGAGTTATAGGATGGAGAAGAAAAAGTGTCTCGTTTTACTTTGTTCAGAGCCCAGTGGCAAATATGTCTTGCCAATGGTAGAAATGAGGAAGGAGAGAAGGGACATGTCAGGCATCTGGGGTGTAATAGCAATGTTTTCTGCTGCCACCCACCTTCAGGCCCCTCACAGACTCGCCGTGGTGGGCATCACCAACCACCGATTGGCCCGTCAGGTCCCAAGTTCATGTTCTTCCCAAATACACTCTCATAGAACTTACTCTAGAATTTCTTACTCTCATAGATTTACTCTAGAAATGAGTTTTAAAATTTACTTTGTAGAAATAAGGAATTTGAATGAAATTGTCAAAGAGTTAAATAAAAGTAAAAAGTTTTGCTTTTCTACTGGGATGTTAGGCTTTTTAAAGAACTATTTGAGTCTTCTACGTGTAGAGATAATTCACCGTTTTCTGCTTCCCTCATGCGGTGCCCTCTCTCCGAACGTCACTGTGGAGCTCAGAACTCCCTGACGACCGCTTCTGCAGCTAACAGCTGTTACCCCCCACCTGAGCTGTACAGAGCCTCTCCCTCCGGGCAGCTCCCGGCCTGGCGTTCCCGTGACTCCTAGCCATCTGGAAGTAATGACACTCCAGAACTCCTCTTTTACGTGGACCTGGCATGTATTTCCTTAAATACCCGTCCCTGAGATTGTAGGTCCTTGGTAGGTTCAAAAGTACCAAACAGGGATGAGCTGTCTTCCTAAGACCTGCAGCCAGTTGCCTTCTTCAGTTCTTGGGTCTGTATTTGGGCTGAGAAGAAAGAGCATGTGAGATTTCATGATGGTAACTCAAAATCTGAATTTTGGAGAGGATGTTCCCGTTCGGCCTGATGAGAAAGAAAGGAAGACTTTGCTGCCGTGCGAATGCCAGGATTTGTGTATTCTCAGCTTATGGAGGGCTTTTTTATTGTTGTCTCCCCGCTTATACTTCTAGTAGATATTTCAGGGTCAGTAGATGAGTCAGGAAAATACATTTTGAAGATTAGGAAGCTGCATCCTTTTTCAAGTCAGCTTTAGAATGCCCTATTGGACTGAACTCGGCTTAGCCAGAAAACCCCCTCCGGTCTGATGGCAGTAAGTTTTCTTGTCTCGGGGTTCTTTCCACCCTGTATATTTTAGGTTTAAGCAGCCTCTGATGACACAGGCAGATAGACCTGGCGAGGGAAATTACTTAAACATATTCTGCCTGTTGGGCTTAATTTATGATGCCTGTTGTGAGTTAGTTGTTATCGTGGACTTCGGTTACATTTCAGAGACTGGATGGGGGGATGTTTTCGACTCGGCCTCTTGGAGCGTTCGTAAGGAAAAGTTATGTGCCCAGTGCTGTAGTAATGCTCTACGAGATGCGCAGGATGTTTCTGGAGGAGTCTGTTGAGGAGGGGCTCCTGGAGACCCCCTCTTTCCAGGGAGCACTGTTCGCAGATCCGGGTGCAAACAGGTACAAACCACACGCCTCGTGAGCACAGTTCTTTCTTTGAAAACATCAGTTTTGAAATACGCCACCCCCTTGCTCCGGGAGTGAGTTTAGCAGCGATTCTTGTCCGTATTCATGGTACTTACGTTGATAAAATGATCTTATAAAAATATAATTCGGAGTCCAAAGAAATCAAATGGTTGCCAGATTCGTATCTCATTTGTCCTGAGCTTGTCTCCCTGAGGTAGGGAGGAGAGTGCTGAGCCAGCCTTCAGGACACTGAGGAGATGAGGGAGGTCGGATGACCCTCACAGGGCCACCCAGCAGTGGAAAGCTAAAGCCAAGAACAAAATGTGGATTTAATTACCAGCTAGAGTCCAGACCTTATTATTCACATTAGCGCTGGTTATGGAGCTAAATATTTTAATGTATTAAAGAAGCATTTTTAACCTTTTTCTCTTCTATTTGCCTTATTAGTCTGTGGTTTATTTTATATAACAAAAACTTATAAAGAAAATAGAAAATACGGGAATCAGATACAGGCTACTCTAGAACAAAGCATCTTGAGGTCAAGATGGATCACCGAAGCAAGATGAGGGGGCCTGTGGACAAGCTGACCCAAGCCCTCGGGGCCAGTGTGAGCTTTTTTACATCGTAGGTAATGCAGTTCTGATTTTTAATGAATGAGAAATTCAATTGAGACTGACACTTGGCATGAACTGCCCTAAGCTTACAATGTGAATCTATGAATCCACATATTTAGAATAAATGATTTCATTTTACTCTTAATGAAGGCACTGTAGCACTGTGTTGGAGATAGGAGGTTTTATGTAGTTTAAAAAGTCAACCAACTTCCTCTGTGAAGTGACATCCTAACAATAGGAACTTGGCCAGATTTATGTAAATTGCAGTGTGCATTTTAAAATGGGGCCAAATTCACATTTTTGAGAAAGGAAACTTGCACTGAGCCTATTTAGGAAATGCCTTCCCGCTCCCTTCCAGCCCACCTCCCTGGCATTCCGGGCACAGAGTGGCCCTGCCAGGAGCCACACGAGCCCTGGTTCTGAGCTCCCGCAGCTTTGGCTCCACGCTCTCCCCCCACTGAAGGTGCTAGAAGCAAGAGGGCGCCTTGGCTCCAAGGAGGAGCTCAAGTTGCTGGCCTTGCCAGAGCTCTGAATCTCCCAGGACCTCATGTTGGTGTGCCCCTGTGTGGGCATGACAGCACGTGCTTTAATTCGGAAGCCTTTCTCCAGGGCAGAGTTTTAGTCTCCCCAGACAGAGTACCCCGGCCGCTGCTCGCAGTGTGGCAGCAGATGGTTAGGAACGAGGAAGTGCTCACCAGCCAGACCCCTGGGCTCCGCTCCTCAGCAGCCCTGGGCAGTTAGCTCACCTGTCTGTGCCTCAGTGTCCTCATCTGTAACTGGGGACAGTACTTAACGACTCACCTCACGGGGCTGTGCGTACTGAAAATGTGTGACGTGCTGCGAACAGAGCCGAGCACGTACTGAGCACTTAATGAATCCCAGCTATTGCTATGTCTTTGTCAGAAGTGCTGCCTTCTCCCTCCTTCCTGGACTGTTGCTATTCATTCCCGGTGGTTGCAGATGGCTGTCTCTGTCAGCCTCTCTGTCCTTGTATTTGCCCGCTCTGGATGGCAGTGGATTTGGAGCTGTGCTGATTAGGAGCTAGAAGCTGCCCTAAGAACAAACTGCTCAGTGTTAGTGCCTGGATGTAAGCCCTGGGGGCGGGGGGGGGAGGGCGCTTAACAGTGAAATGCCCCATAATGAATGGGCAGTCACTGAAGAAGAGGGGGGATTCTTGCTAAAAACCTACCTCCCCCCACCACACACTCATCTTTAACCCCACGGAATGAGCCGTACTGTGGCTGCACATGTGTAAAATGACTGCACGCTATTCATGGACGTCCATGTATCACCCACTGTGGGCCGGCCTAGGACAGGTGCTCCAGGACAGGAATGACCCGGGAGATGAGGCCCCCGCCCCCGCCAGCAGTCTGGGGGATAGAGCGCACCTGGTGTTTGTGTCTTCCTTTTGCTAATTTTTGTTTTCTATTTTCCTAAGTGGCTGTGGTTTTTTGTAACCTTTGACAAGTTTTTTAAGTGCTTTCATGAAACCACAAAATGGAATGTAGTCTTTGATAATTTTAGTTAATCAGAAAAACAAAATTGCCCACGCTAAAGTAGAAAGCCTCAGTTCTTTTTCTTTTCTTTTCCTTTTCTTTTTTTTTTTTCAGTAGGCTCCATGCCCAGCATGGAACCCAATGCGGGGCCTGAACTCACGACCCTGAGCCAAGATCAGAAGTCAGACACTTAACCAACTGAGCCACCCAGGCTACCCA